GTTCTTATGCAATCATAAACAAATATTGATTTAATATCACCCTTAGAGAGCTACCTACTGCACAGAAGACACAAAGTTTGTTTTTTATATTTAATTTTCTAAAATTAAATAAAAATTGTCGTTTGTTTATATGCCTCTCCCCCGCGCAACAAAATTAAAAATAAATTTGCTTTAAAATCTGCAAATGTCAATGAACCCACTTCTCGACCAGAAAAACAAAAAAAAAACCAAGACCCGTTTACATCAAGTAAAATAGATTTGTAAATAATGTTATTTTTAAAATGACGAAAATGCTGTGATAAACTCTTATCTTGAAAAGAATATACCACATATGTATATATGATGACGGTCAAGTGCTTGGCAAGCTTAGCTGTTAAAGCCAAAATGAATCGTGCAAGATTAATTACAATATGTTTTTGGCCAACATTTCTAATTAACACTAACGTTTATTTTATTTGTAGCATTTTCTATTGGCTGAGAATGAAAATCCACAAACACACGCACGCCCTGAGCACACTCTGAGACATATTCATATATGAGTTATGTGAATGTAAATAATATAAGATGAAGAACGGCAGGCAGGTAGGTACTTTTTTCAAAACAAACAATACAAAAGAAAATGCAGAGACAAGAAAAAAAATTGAATGTCGGGTGGAGACGGCCATGTGATGAGCTACCATTGACGCTCTGTTTATATTTTGTTGGCAAAAAAAAATTATAAATTATCAGCTGCAATCACTAAACCAAGGCCAACCGCAATACAAAATTTGATTTGGCTACAAATCATTTTTTGACGATCCGGATACAAAAACCTATTCGGTAACAATCTACAACATAATCTACCGTTTTGTAATGTATGGCTATCAATTAATACAGAATTGAAATAATAATTCAGAGAAAACTTATTGAGAAAAAGCCACAATGCGTTGCAGGCAATGGAATATCTCTTGTGCTGGATGGTTCCCCAGAAACTGTAATCTTAATCAATTTTATAGGTTTACAAATATAAACAAGTAAAAAAGCAGTAAGTTCGACCGGGCCAAACTTTGGAACAAATTTGGCAAAAATAAATAAATAAATAAAATCCATTGAAAATTCTGTTAAAATCTCAAAAATACCGAATGTAGTCATTATATTAGAGTCTATACGACGACGTGGACCTGTCAACTTTTGTCATAAGCCATTACAAAATTCAAATGCGAAACTTAAAAAATAATGTAGCTAAAATCATCAAAATAACGAACATAGGGAGATATCATTATATTTTCTGTCATAGGCTTTGGTATTCATTACGAACTTCAAATACCAAATTTGAAATAATTCCGGTGAATAATGTCGCTAAAATCATCAAAATACCGAATATCGGGAGGTGCCGTTATATGGGGGCTATACGAAGACGTGGACCTGGTAAAGACAATTTTCTGTCTTAGGTTGTAGTATCCATTTCGAACTTCAAACACCGAAATTTGAAACAATTCCGGTAAAAATAATGTCGCTTAAATCACCAAAATGCCGAAAATAGGGAGGTACCGTTATATGGGGGCTATATTAAAACGTGGACCTACATGGCCCATTTTACGGACAGACATGGCTAAATCGACATAGAATTTTATGCTAATTTTTTGTGGGGTCTAAAATTTCGAGGTGTGACAAACGGAATAACAAACATAATATACCCTCCATAGTATGGTAAAGGGTATAAAAAATCTTAAGTGCGGGCGGAAGGAACATTTTACACTCTAATATTTGACCCATGTAGAAATAGGCTAACCTCAAAATTGCAAAAAAAAAAAAAAATTATCTTACACTTATACAGAATATTTCCTGAGAGGAGATAATTTACTCTTTGATGGAAATCGATCCGAAACATTCGAATCAGCAGGCACTGTTATATGGGGTCTACATTAAATTGTGGACCCACATTAAATATGTTTTGAGATCTACTCTGAAATACACATAAAAAGGCCCAAAACATCAAATATCAACTAATTTGGTTTGAAATTTAAGCGGAATACTTAAAAATACCAAGAATCAGAAGGTACCTTATATAAGATGGTCTTCTAAAAAGTGGACCGACCATAAATATTTCTTGCAAATAGTTAGTCTACCCCCAACAAAAACAACCCAAAATGTCAAAATGTCGGGCCCAAACCCGAAAATCGAGACGTCTATATTGATTTTTTTTTAAATCTAATGCAAGCCACAAACGTAGCAATTGGTTGTACATCTTGGAGAAGTTGTATTCAAGATTGTATCGTTTGTGGCCCGCTTGTACGAAGTTGTGTCTCGGTTGTACAAAAAATCAAAATTTTTTGATATTTGGCATGTTGTACCAACCGATTGTAATGTTTGTGGGCATGTCGCATACAATTTCATTTTGTGTTTATTTTCAAAGAGGCAACACCATTGTTTCGCACATCAAAACAACACGAAATCCAATCAAATGTGTGATTTCAAAGAAAATATAAAAAAATACAAATATATATGAAACAGAATTTCAAAAAATTAATAATAAATAAAGGCTATTATATAGTAAATTATGGAGCACGAAATTATTTCCGGTGTCATCTTAACTCAAATGAAATTTTCGAAAAGTGAAGTTGTACAAAGAGATTGTACACAAAGTTGTATCGTTTGTGGCCGAAGCATAGAATTTGACAACCCTCCAGGTTGTACCAACGGTTGTATCGTGTGTGGCTTGCATAAGAACTGAAAACCTGAAATGTCAAGTTACAGGTGATTTACTTGGAAATTCGGACCGAAGCCGAAAAATCTTAGGCTAATTCCTGATTTCAACATCGACATCAAATTCCACGCCGATCGTGAATGTATATTCTTTATGGCGTATTCGGGGTTTCTTAATTTGGCAAAAGTAATAGCAAATTTAACATACCCTGTATTTTATGGCGGAGCTCATAAAACTAAGAATATTTTCCATAAAAAATGAAAAACAAAACATGATTTTTAAAACTTTTTTTTTGAAATCTTGAGCTGAACTCCGAACAATTTTTGGAGACGTCGCAGACAGAACGACATCGTTTTTAGAAAGAGGGGGCTAGACGTTATATGACTTGAAAAATAAACAAGTTAAAAAGCAGGAAAAGCAGTGAATGCCCTCCACAATTTGGAACGAATTTGTAAATTTTCAAAAAATAAAATTCGTTAAAAATTCCTTTAAAATCTTAAAAATGCCGAATATAGCCGTTATATTGGGATCTATACGACGTGGACCTACATAGGCATTGTTTGTCATAAGCCATTACTGCATAGACAATTTTCTTTTACAGGCTGTAGCATCCATTACGAATTTCAAATACGACATCTCAAACAATTTCGATGAGTATTGTACCTAAAATCGTCGAAATACCGAATATAGGGAGGTACTAATATATATGGGACCTATACGAAACATCGAAACATACGGACATCGAAATACCGAATATTGAGAGGTACCGTTACATGGGAACTATACGAAGACTTGTATCTGCATAGACAATTTTCTGTCTTAGGCTGTAGTATCAATTTCGAACTCGAAATATCAAATTTAAAACAATTCCGGTGAATAATGTCGCTGATATCATCAAATACCGAATATCAGGAAGTACCGTTATATGGGAGCAATACGAAAACGTGGACCAACATGGCTCATTTACGAACTTGACATGCCTACTGGTAAACTATGCAAGTATGCAAAATTTCAGCCTTCTATCTCAATTCATTCGAAAGCGTGATTATAACAGACACACAGACGGGCATCTTTTACGCTGATCCAGGAGATATATACTTTGTAGGGTCTATTATGAATATTTCGAGGAGTTACAAACGGAATGACAAAGCTGATATAACCTCCATAGAATGGTGGAGGGTATAAAAAGTCTGGTGACTGAAGATGGGAAAAAATGCACTCTACCCAAACCAAGAACAAAATTCAAAATGTGTGTCAAATCGGAAAAGTCCACAAGTTGTATGCCTGTTGTGGGGTACTATATCAGTATAGTCCAACTTTATACATTTTTCTGCTGTTCTCTTCAATGCAAAGTACGACCTTGGTCAGATACTACAGCCGGATTAAACAACTTTCGAATGGGAACAATCGATCTAATTTGTTGTATGTTCTTCTTGATGTGGGATATCGTCATCTGCATAGCCGACAAACTTAAGCCCTAAAACTTTTAGGATAGAAATTTTAAGGGTTACTTAGTTAGTTTTCTATATTTGATACTCTTGTAAGTTAATCGCCGGCTACGCGAAATAAAGCATTTTTATTGAAAAAATAATTTTAATAAACTTTTTCGTAACGAGTTATGCTGGTGGAAGGACCCATATTTCTGGACCCAGAAAATGTATTAGCACAAATTGTAGCATGGAAGGGTAAGAGGGTCAGCTATAATTTTGTTGATCTCCTTAATGGAACCTTTTTGGGGGTTTTATAAATAATCCGGATCAAAAAATCGATAATTTCGAACCGTTTTAAATAACCCCATCATGTGACACCTATATTGTCTATATCGGGAAAGTAGATCCGGGTCTAGCCAGTTAGCTATGGAAAGTACGGTAACATACCATCAACAATGGTCAATTGTCGAATTTTTCAGTGTCCCAAAATACTCTATAGTCATAGATCCTTACATATATATAGGACTGCCAAAAATTTACTTCCAGATGTCCTGAATCTCCACAACTTTAACAAACGCGTTCCAAACATTTCGACCAACACATGACGAGTTATGTAGGGTATACCTGACAGAAACATCAAACAAACTAAGCAGCGGCATATGACTACAAATGAATACCTGTGGCGTAATAATAATAATAATAAAAAAGAACAACACGGGGCGCGCGGTGAGACGGGGGACGTAAAAATATACACAAGTTAAAAACGAAAAAAATAATTTGTTTTTAATTTTTGTTTTGTTCTTCTTCCTCGTTTTAATTTGTGGTGACAATGCGAGCCAAGCTGCTGCAGGCAGGCAGACAGAAGAATGAAACAAAAAACTTACACTTGTTTCTCCACCTTCTCCTCCCCCTCTTGCTGTTTTCTTCTTCTTCGGTGTGTGTTGTGTGTTTTGTTAATAGTTTTATTTTTCACAAAAGAAATTGACAACTGTTTCACAGTAACACTTTTTCCACAATTTTATATGGCCCAAGACCAACGTCCGCACCGTCCGATATTATTATGATGTGTTATGGGATGGTGGACACACTTTTCTCTTTTTGCACTTTTGACCACACAATATGGGTTTTTTGTTGGTAGGTCTCCCTTCTCGTCGGCTGCTTAGAATTTCGATTTAATCCAATGACACTACTGAATGCAGATATATGTCATAACAAAAGTGACTACTCCAAAAAATTACAGCAGCAGTCATGAACTCAACTAATGGAGACAGACAAGCAGACGACAACGGTGGTGGTGGTGATGGTGGTGACAACGACGACGACGACGGCAACAGCAACGGACAGCAGCAAATCAGCAGTTATGGAACTTCAATGTCGTGCACTTCCACACACAATGAACATTCAGAAAAAATTAAGACGTAGACGACGTCGTTTTATATGTTTTCTTGCGAATTATATTTTTTGATTTTCTTATAATTTGAACATTTTTCTTGTGTCTGGGAACGACAAACGCGAATTTTCTTGCAATTTGCTCGATTTTTGCACAAATTTTAATAATATTTGATGTCTTTTAACTCGCAGAAAAACGAAAATATCGACCGAGCTATAAAAAAAATATCGATTGACTCGCGTCTGTCATAATTGTCAAATTGGATTGGAACGTAACTACACTACAGCCCACTACCTAATGTCACAAATGTCAAAGTGGTTAATAACAAAAACACAGGAACAAAAGAAACCAAATTCGCCACAAACACCAAAGCATAAAACAAATCTACAGATACCAGAGATATACAAAAAGACTTATACAAATTCTTTAAAATCACGAAATTTGCAAAGTTATTAACAAAATACGCTTAACATTTTTACGTACTCTCTTAAGCAACCCTGTTTCGTGCCCTATGTAGAGAAACGTTGGTAGGCTTCTGTCAAAAAGACGTAACGTAATTGAGAGACATTTGCTATGAATGGAATCTTTAAAAAAATCCTTTTGAAATCAATGCTTCTATTACATATGTTGACCACATCTTTAGGACAATATTTGCGTCATATACACAAAACAACTGCTTTCAGACATAACACTTATTCTGTAAACATTGTCTCCACAACATTTCTCCGTGGAGTCAACTCACGGTTAGAAGCCAGCATCTCATGCGAAGCACTACGGAATATATGGTTTCCACATTTTACAACTTTTCAAAAAATATTTGTAAAGAAAACTATTTAAGGTTTCATCACACAACTACGTACAAATGTTTTATAGCTCTTCCCATCATGTATTTTTTGTAGAATTCCTCCGTGATTCCAAACCGTGGAAACTGCAACTGGCCAGCATTCCCATTCATGCAGCAAACGGCTCAAGGATCGCACAAATTCGTTTAATAAACACATATTTTCGTTCACTTACCTTAATATTATTCCTTTGTGTGGTATTATTGATGATAATTTCAAATAATTTATGTTTAATTGTTGTTTTTACACAATTAATGAAGTTTTAAACAAAAAGCGACATTTGTTTTCTCAAGTGAGTATGTTCAGTGTAGGAGAGTTTTAAGAGAATTGTCATTCGTCTTCACAGAGTTGTATTAATGCGTACTAACAAAGAGCGACATACGTGTTTTCTCGAGTGAGTATGTTCAGTGTAGGAGAGTTTTAATAGAATTGTCATTCGTCTTCAATTCAATATTTTTCAGGAAAAAAAATACAATTTTTAAAAAATAGATATGCCGATTCAATGAATATTTTAAGTCAAAGCTCATTTCAATTGTTACTACTTTATTAGTAACATATGACATATCTAACAGATGCCAAATAAATACATTGATCCCTGAATTGCAGGATTGCATGGTGAAAAAATGGACAGATAAGGCCTAATAGAATAAAATGTTGACAGTTGTGTTCAGAGATTTTGCGAAGAACTTAAGATTGTATAATAAAAAGGTATTCTAGAGCTGATTATCAAAGATGGGAACCCCGATGATTACAATTTGTTTCTAAGTGTTCCAGGTATTTCATTCATCTTTCGCGCTATTTGACTCATTTTAAAAATGAACAAAAAATATCAAATAAATGAAAACATCTTGTCGGATATAATTTTGAATAATTCTGACAGGAAGCGGGCATAGCCTCAGGGCTGTATTTCTGTTATTTTACGAAGCTATTCTAAATCCTTATTGTACCATGGATTAATTTACATTGAAATTTGACAAGGTAAATTACAAAAAAGGCAGAGATGGGTACACTTATTTGAAATGACCCACTTAATTTTACCATGGGAGCATCATAGAATTAAACAAATAAAAAAAGACCGTTTTGCTGTTAAACTTTTCAAAAAACCATAAAGTGTGTGAGGTCGTTGTATGTGGCCATACCAAAACGGGAATCTCCATAGACAATTTTATACTTCAAGTATTATCATCAACCAAATCTTCTTAAAAACAAAATTTGAAACAATTTTATGGGTAAATGTGACTAGGATTATCAAAATGCCGGATATCGGGATTTACCGCTATATGAGATACCATTACGAACTACAAATCACAATTTCTAGACAAATCCGTGGAAAATGTGGCATAAATCATCAAAATACGGAATATCTGGAGGTATCATTATGTAGGGGCCATACAAAAACCTGAACCTATACACACAATGTTTTTCCACAGGAGCTGGAATCTATTATAACCCCCAAGTACCAATTTATAGATATATCCGTGGAAAAATGTGGCAAAAATCGTGACAATACCGGAGGTACCGTTATATGAGGGCCATACAAAACGTGAACCTATACATACAGTGTTTTGCCACCGGAGTTATAACCTCCTATGATCTACAAATACCAATTTTTAGGCAAATCGGTGAAAAAATGTGGCCAAAATTATCAAAATACCGAAGGTATCGTTATATGGTGGCTATATCAAAACGTGGACCGATATACCTGATTTTCAATTCAAACCATCCTAGACATAATACAAATCGTTGCTCCAAATTTTGAAGCTATACGTCAAATAACGTGGGATCTATGGTGATTTCAACAGACAGATGGACATTTTATGCTGATTATATATACTTTATGGGGTCTACGATAAATATTTAGGAATGTTACAAGCGGAATGGAAAGTTAATAGTCCTTCCGTTTCAAAGTGGAGGGTATAAAAAGGAACACCATTTACGATTTAGTAATAGATACTAAAAGCCCTATAAGAACTATAAGACTTGGGAGCATTGATATGTCAAAAATTTTATTTTTTTTTTTTCAAAAGAAAAAATATACGACACAAACCGGAGGTTATTATGAAAAAATATTTCATTCAAAATTTTCAATTTCAAAGTAGTTTTGACAGTTCAGCAGGTGCGTCGATGCACCTGTATTCAATTGAACCATGGTTCTTACTCGTTTTGGCAAGTTCTTATGGAAGTAGAGTTGAAATTAATTTCAAATTGTCATTATCGATTTAAAGACTACGTCCTTAATTCCACTATGAATTTACCGAACACCCCTAATTTGGACATGTCGGTATTAAAATGATCACTGAACGTACCACATATATGTTTTGAGTTGTTGTTGGTAGTGTTAGTACCCAGCGAACCAAATGACGGATGTTCGGCTCATCTGCTCCAAGTCTAAAGTTTTTCCGACGCATCTGACCGAGTATGTCAGAATTCTGTTTATTTATGTTTTTATTTGTGCTTACAATTATGAAGTTATTCGACTTTTTAGTTGAACTTTATTCTCAACAAATGTTTTCCATTACATTATGACACAGAGCGTTATTCGACAAAGACTTTAGTATTTCTTAAGAACTTTCTTTAAGCCGAAAACTGTTAAAAGTCTTGTTCGACAACTCTAATTTTCCTTCAGAATGTCCCAATAATATCCATGCAAGTTCGGGCAGACTTTATTTCCAAAGAAGATAAACATGCCAATCACTCCATATTACTTTCGGTCCGATCTCGGACAATATAGTTCGCTGGGTTGTGACTGCAACTGACGTTTTCAAGGCTAAAACAACTAGTTCCGCGCTCTCTTTAGTGAAGATGTTCAATTTTCCTCACGTCTCATTCGTAAACAACAGAGTACCCAAGTCTTTGCTTTCTGTTTATTTTTTATCGCGTATTCCTTTGTGGCCTTCATATTCGTTTCGTCGGTTCGTTTTTCATTTTTGTTTCCACGCTCGCAACGAACAATCAACCAACACCAAGGGAATTGGACACATTTGTTTGTTGGACGGGATTATTTAAAAAATATTATGATTTATTTATCAATAAAATAATACAACAAATTCTATTAGAATCAAACGATTAATCAAAAATCAAGAAAAACAAATGACAGGTTCGTGGGGAAATCAACGACGTGAAACTGGCAAATCAAAATGTGGTTAATTAGCAACAGAATTAGAATTCCATTACTAACTTGTGCATGGCGAACTTTTATTCTTATTACAATACTGAATGTTAGCAGCTTTAGCAAATCCAATTATGTACGCGCCTTGAAACACTATACCAAAGAACGAAAATTAGAGTTACGGTAAGTGGGTTAGTTTGGAAGCCCTCTTCTGAAATCGCTAATTCATGTCTGTCTTTTGTAGTGAACAAGTACGTGGCATGTTTCAACATGCCTATGAAGGATATTTGAAATATGCCTCAGATTATGATGAACTGAGACCGCTGACGTGTGATGGAGTAGATACATGGGGTAGTTATTCCCTGACCATGATTGATTCCCTGGATACACTGGCCACAATGGGGAATTTCACTGAGTTCCGAAGAGTAGCAAAGCTATTGGAGGAAAAAATGGACTTTGACAGAGATATAAATGTGTCGGTTTTTGAAACCAATATACGTATTGTGGGAGGTCTACTATCTGCCCATTTATTGTCCAAAAAGGCTGGAGTAGAGTTGGAGAAGGGATGGCCATGTCAGGTATGCAAAATGATTTGATTCGTAAATTTGAAATAATAAAATTCTTTTTTAGGGTCCGCTGTTGCGTATGGCCGAAGATGTGGCCAAACGTTTGCTGCCGGCTTTTGACACGGCCACCGGCATGCCTTATGGTACGGTGAATTTACGTTATGGTGTTCCCAAGGGAGAAACCTCCATAACATGCACAGCTGGGGTTGGCACTTTGCTGGTGGAATTCGGTACCTTATCACGTTTGACGGGAAATACTATCTACGAAGAAGTGGCCTTGAATGCTTTACACTCGCTGTGGAAGAGGAGGTCCAATATTGGCTTATTTGGTAATCATATAGATGTACAAAGTGGTCGTTGGACAGCTTTAGATTCTGGAATCGGTGCTGGCGTCGATTCCCTTTTCGAGTATATGGTCAAGGGAGCAATATTATTACAGAGGCCGGAATTGTTGGACATGTTCCATACAGCCCGCCAGCAAATAGATAAATATTTACGCCATGAAGACTGGTATGTGTGGGCTAATATGAATAAGGGCCAGGTTACATTGCCGGTTTTCCAATCTTTGGAATCCTTTTGGCCTGGCATCTTGAGTATGATCGGCGATAGATCGCCGGCCATTAAGACAATGGCAAATTATGCCAGTGTTTGGAGAAAATATGGTTTCTTGCCCGAATTTTATACCATAACAACTGGTGAAGCTGCAGCTAATCGAGAGAGCTATCCCCTGCGCCCTGAACTTGTCGAATCGGCAATGTATTTGTATAGGGCTTCAAAAAATGAATTCCTTTTGGAGCTAGGTGAAAGTATGCTGCAAACCATTGAACATAGTGCCAAAACCAGATGTGGATATGCCACAGTAAGTAGAAGTAATAGCATAATTTGAATTAAATCATAGCAGTCGACTATTTTTAGATACGTAATGTGGTCACCCATGAAAAGGAAAATCGCATGGAGTCATTCTTTCTGTCGGAAACCACAAAATATTTGTATTTACTTTTCGATGAAGATAATTTCCTGCACAACGATGCTGCCAAGGGAGAAATCATAGAATTAGGTGCCAGCAATGGTGGCGGACAATGTGTTATCAATACAGGACCTTATATATTCAATACCGAAGCTCATCCCATTGACATGTCAGCTTTGTATTGTTGTTATGATCACAAACAGGACATGTTCGATGGTTTGGATTTGCAGAACTTCAGCGACTCGACGTTGGCCAAAAGTGATTATGATTTAAATATAAAAGATAAGGTAGAAAGTGATTCCCATTGTTCCCGCCCAGTAAATCGGCAACCCGTGAAGAGAGTAACGAGACCAAACGCCAAAGCTGGAAAACCACAGCCTCCACAGGAACCCAGCATGGCAGTGGATATTGAGGTTTTCGATGAAAACAATAAACCAGCTGGAGATATTTTGGTAGAATCATTTGAACGGGTTAAAAATGAGCAAATTACCATGACCAGAGCACCACCAACCATTGATGGCTCGCAACTTCGCAATCAATTAACGGTTTCAGATTTACAAGATTTCTTTGCCAAGAGACGTGAGCATTTTAAAAATCCCCAGGAAGTTTTAGATTACACTGTGAAATTTTTAAAGAACTTTACCTTGGATCCATCGTATATTTTAAGTCTAAAACTTTTTGATAAGACCGTGACCGAATATCTGGGATCGGCTACGCAAAAAGAATACAGCAGTACCACCAAAACCCTGTGGGATATATATGTCTTAAAACATAAATATCAAATGAATATGAAACTATTGATGACATTCAATTTACATGTGCTTGATGATTTTGACAGCAAAATGGTGGAAAAGGTCCTGATGGTCTTGGCGGGAGATCAAACTGATGTCACCAATAATATTATATGGAATAAAATGACTGAACTTTATGTGGAATATTCCAAATCGCTAACAAATACCACCGAAATACAAAATTTCCTATTGAAAATCCTCATTAATGGCTCCGAGGAAAAACCGGGTAATTTTAAAGCATTACTTACAGATCAAGAAATTCAAAAATTGTCCAATGAACATGTGGATGTATCGCAACATTTAAAGGAATTTTCCTATGCCAAACGGATTGTGGAAGCTGAGAAACGTGTCACAGATACCTTTGAACAATTGCAAAAACTTATGGCCGATATAAACACCAAACAAAAGGGAGATAACAAAAAAGGAGGGCAAGCAATTGCACAAACTACAGAGTCTAAGACTAAAGCGGATACCATCAAGAAAAATCCCACTGCGACGGATAAGAACAACAATTCCCCTATGACAAATACAACTTCCCCAACAGCCTCTAGTGTGGGCACCAATCTCATGCATTCCCCTCCAACCAAAGACAATGAAAATAATTCCGTCTCAGTTTGGACCCACTTGGTTGACACATTTTTGGGCAAAAGTTCATCGCAAAAATTCAAATTTGATGCCGGCGAACTGTTACAAAAAACTCGCAAATCTCTGGAACAATATCAATCGTTGGATATTAATTATAATTTGCTAACATGTGCTCGTCCTAGATTTATTGAACAATTTGCTTATCGTTACTATCATCCGTGAGCATAATCTGACAATGTATCCACATCGGAAAAAAACGTTTGTATATTTTTATATATATATATATGTATTTATATTAAAGACTGTTGTTGAACCGGGGTGCCGAGCAAGGAGAATTGGAAAAAATGGAAATTGTAAATAAGTAAGCAATAACTAGTTGAATGAAAGAAACAAAAACAAAAATGGAAACCTGGAACAAGAGATACAATCATCATTCCACCAAATCGATCGTGTGTTGTGTTAGTTTCATTGACAAACTGTGTGACTGAGTGTGATTTGATTATGAAGAAAATAAACTATTGCAATAAGAAGTTGGATTGTTTCATTCTCAAATAAATAAATATGAACGGGAGGGAATGAGGGAATTTGTCAAAGAAGGTAATGGAGAAAGACAAAGGCAACTGTCAGGAAAGCTTTACATCTGGAAAGGTAAATTTTTTTCGACGACTAAAAGTCAACCTCCAAAAAAGACAAAGAAGTCGAAAACAAGGAATTTATTGTTTAGCTCAAAAGAGAGCCAGCTATTTTCTGAGTTAACAATTTCAAAGTTTTCTAAAAAAGATGTGCCAAAGTCGAAAAAATAAAAACTTTATTCAAATGGTTTTACGACGGCCTGAATAATCTCAACCCTTGAACCAGCTAAACTTTTTACCAAGGCTAAGAAGGTGGAATAGCAGTTGAGTGTACTGAAAACTTCATTTAATGGTCAGTTAAGGGAAATCTGTAGAGCCATCGATCCAATAGCCTGCTGAAAATCTCATTACCAAATAATGATTTTGTTGATTACATTTTAGCACCAGCAGCTAACAAAACAGTAGCTCCTTATAATACCATGGACTTGTTGTAGGTAGTAAGTATTTTCGATTTTTCACCATTATAAAGTTAATACAATACATACATACAGAATGAGATGAAAAACTGCAACCAAATTCAGACTGCTGTCATTTCCAAGACACTCGTTTACACTTGTTTACAAGTGTACAAAAGCATTTTGGTGAGAATTTTCCAGGAAAAAAAGTTATTCGTGATGGAATTCAAGCGGGGTGTGATTTCTTTATATTTGGCTTGAAAACCACAAGTGACTATCGTTAGAGCACTCCACCATTTAAATCTAAATAAATGATACTAGTAGCGTAGCCCGACGCCAAGAAAGTGGACGGAAGAAAACACCAACACCAGCAGGAGTGGTTCGAAAAGTAAAGAAGCGACTTGATCGAACCCCACGTCACAGTGACCGAAAAATGGCTCGTGAGGTGAACATATCGAAATATTACATTCGGCAAATATTGAAAAAGAGCTCGGTGCAAAGCCATTGAAATTCCAAAAAGTGCCAGAACTTACATCGCAACAGAAAGAAAATAGACTCAAAAGAGCTAAAGAGTTGCTTCGCTTGGCCGAAAGTAATGAACTGCCAAATTTGGCTTTCTCCGCTCCGATGAGAAAACATTCATTGTCCAGCAGTTTGTAAACAAACAAAATGATCGTGTGAACTTGCCAAAGAAGTCAGCTGAAAATGTGCTCCTTTGGTTGGACAGAACTCAAGCGCAGGCCATGGCCCCAGACCTTGGACATTCCGTTGGGCTATTGTGTCTGGAGTATTTTGGAAAGCAAGGTTGGCACTAAAAAAATACCAATGTGTCGATTACTGGGAATGGGCCAAAATACCGCAGAGCAACATTCGGGCAGCGTGTAACGGGCGTTTCAAAAGGTCAAAGGTGATCAATTCGAACAAATCTAAACTTATTCTAAAATTTTCGAAATTTTTTTGCTTTCATTCAATAATTTTGTTGTTGCAAAATGGTCTGGCTTTATCCCTTTATTGTTGTTTTTATAAAAACAACGTTTGTTTATTAGTGGAGAACGATGGTAATGTTTACCAGGGGGTAAGACAGGGAATACCTAGGTTTCGGAAAGAGCCACCAATCCTCATCAGTTCCCTTGTTTTTGTCTGGGATATTCTCCCCAGAAGTTATTTTAAAAATAACTTCTATGACAAAAAACATTTTTTTACCCAAGTGACGAGATCGTAAGCTCAATAGAAAAACAACAATAAAGGGATAAAGCCAGACCATTTTGCAACAACAAAATACTACGGTATCCCGAACAAACAAGCCACACTGTTCTATTAATAGACAAGGCACGGTCGACGAAGGGGTTCTTGTTGTAACAGACAAAACCAACTTACATGGTTATGCTACTTCGTTCAGGCTGAACGAAAGCATAACAAGTGGAGAAAGATGTAAATGTTTATAAGTGCGGTTGTAAGATTTAGAAGACTTTCCAAGAGAATTTTAGTTTTATTTAATTCTTTGGTTCCTCTTCTATTGAGCTTACGATCTCGTCACTTGGGTAAAAAAATGTTTTTTGTCATAGAAGTTATTTTTAAAATAACTTCTGGGGAGAATATCCCAGACAAAAACAAGGGAACTGATGAGGATTGGTGGCTCTCACATTCGTAACATACATCCGACAACAATGATATTTTGCACCAGATATCTTATAGAGCTCGGAAATACCTCTGCCAAATTGTATTAAGATCAGTTCTAATTTGGATATAGCTCACGTATATATCTTTATCCGATTTCGGGTTAATTATGCACCAAATGGCCAATATCAGTCCAAATGACCTGAATTTTGGCACATCCGACAGAATCCAATATAGAAGCTAGTACATGAAATTTGGTGAAAATCGGTTCAGATATAGCTTTAGCTCCCCTATACAGGGTAAGATAAAAACTGCAACGAAGTCAAACGCCATAATTTTTACATTTTTTTAAATTTCATTGAATGAAGGCAAACAATGTCGGAAATAGCATCACATTTTAGAATAAGTTTTCAAACGGTCAATGAAACCGTCACACGCTGCCCGAATGTTGCTCTGCGGTATTTTGGACCATTCCCTACGAAGCGCTTGCTTGATCGAAACTTTGGTATTTCTTAGTGCCAACCTTGCTTCCCAAAATACTCCAAACACAGTAGTCCAACGGATTGGTATCTGATTTGTCGTTACATCCTTTTACAGCCAATTCCGCCTCTATGCAAATAAACGAAGTTTGAAAAACTTTGCGATAACAGAAAAGCGCAATTTAAAAACTTTTATTTTGGAGTATGGAAATAGTTTTGTGGTTCATTACCTTGCCATACGATGATAGCTTCCGTTCCTGCCACACAAAATAAATAAACCCCAAAAAGAATCAACAAATAGATGAAGAAAAAAAATGGGACAACAAATATTTTGCAAATTTGTTATTGTTATCATTTACGGAAAGTAGGTCCTTTGCAAATCTCTCTTCTCTCACTGTGTGTGTGTGTGTTTGTGTACAAGGAAGACTGTTGTTCTGTTGTTACGGACTTAAAATGCGTGTTTTACATGAATTTTTCTTGACATAATAGAAACCATCCCACGTCCCCCACCAGAAAAAACAACTCTTTTTCTGAACTAAGAATATAGCGAGGATTTTTAATACGTTTTTGTAGGTTCCACCTGTAACTTGGTAGGAGGTAGATAGGTAGGTAGGAGTTATGACAATAATTATCGTCACTGGCATGAACATGAAATTAAATCAATGATAAACATAAAAAACAAATGTATAAAAATAAAACAATTTGTTGACGTATTTGTTTTACTAGACCACCAGAGTAGTTTTGTGGTTTTCCTATTTTCAGTTGTTGATTAAGGCTGCACGTTAGCGGTTAGGCTTTAGAAAACGGCAGTCATGTCTTCCAATTCAAATTCAAGTCCTAAAACGGGAAAGTCTAGTGCAAACAGAAGCAATAACGATAATCCGGAAGTAATTCCAGTCATAAGTGACATAAATGAACCCCGACCTATGCCATATCTCTTCGAAAAGGAATTGATAAATAAAGCGAATAAACACATCTATGTGGTGGACGATTTTGTACCATCCCGGAATAGTGAGTAAACATTTATGGACTGTGTGGAGTAACACTTTGCAACAAAAATTCAATTTTTTCAATAATTACGGGACAACTATCCAAAAAGGGACAATTGTACCAATGATTCTCGATGTAATCGAAAGATCTCTATCAAATAAATAATTATTGGGAATTAAAAGAGAGTTCCACGCACCAATTTGAAGCCAAATTGATTGGAAAATATGGCATGACCCCCACAATAAATAAAATCAGGGGATATCTTTTTATAAGGGCTGTACCAAAAGCTGGACCTATTTTATTATACCCTATTTATTATATTCTTCACCATGGTATGGAGGCTATATTAAGTTTGTCATTCCGTTTGTAACACCGCGAAATATACATTTTAGACCCTACAAAGTATATATATTCAGCATAAAATTCTATGCCGATTTAGATATGTCCGTCCGTCCGTCTGTGGAAATCACCCCAGCTTCCGAAGGAAGTGAAGTGAAATGTATATTATGCCTGCAGGACTTTTGGTATTGAGAATGAACCATGTAGGTCCACGTTTTGGTATAGGCCCCCTATAATGGTACCTCCCTATTTTACGTATTGTTGTGATTTAAGCGACATTATTTACCGGAATTTTTTCAAATTTGAGTATTTGAAGTTCGTAATGGATACTACAACCTAAGACAGAAAATTTTCTGTGCCAGGTACACGTCTTCGTATAGCCCCCATATAACGGAACCTGCCCATATTCGGTTTTTTGATGATTTTAGCGACTTTATTTACGGAAATTGTTTCAAATTTGGTATTTGAAGTTCATAATGGGTACTACGGCCTATGACAGAAAATGGTCTGTGCAGGTGAACGTATTCACCGATTTTTTTCAAGTTTTGCATTTGAATATTGTAATGGCTTATGACAAACGTTGCCATGTCGTCGTATGGATTCTAACAGAATTTTTAACAGTTTTATTTTTTTTTGAAAACTGCAAAATTCGTTTCAAATGGTGGAGGGTATTCACAATTTACAGCTATTTTACTTGTTTTGTAAATAACATTACTACATAATAAGAACTCAAAATGTCCACATTTACCAAAATTAAATGGAAAACAGTTCCAATGCTTAAAAAAATACTTGAATTTGGAGTTATCCTTACAAGGGGACTTTTTCAAAAAGTGGGCCGATATGACCCATTTTGTATACCAATGATTCTGGATGCAATACAAAGAACCCTAACAAATTTCAAAGCTCTACCCTAAATATTGCGAAATATATACAGGGTGAGATAAAAAAAAAATGCAAGAAAGTCAAACGCCATAATTTTATTTTTTTAATTTTATTGAAAGTAAGCAAAAAATATCGGAAATAGCATCAAATTTTAGAATAAGTTTAGATTTGTTCGAATTGGTCACCTTTGGCACGAATTATGGCCTTTAAACGGCCAATGAAACCGTCGTACGCTGCCCGAATGTTGCTCTGCGGTATTTTGGCCCATTCCCGGCGAAGCGCATGCTTGAGGTGATCGACACTTGATATTTTTGAGTGCTAACCTTGCTTTCGAAAATACTCCAGACACAATAGTCCAACGAATTGGTATGCGGAGATTTTGGTGGCCATTGTGCGCTGGAAATGAATCGAGGAGCCTCATTTTGTAACCATTCTTGGGTGGTGCGTGCTGAATGCGATGGTGCTGAGTCCTGTTGAAAAGTCCAAGGTCTGCGGCCAAAATGTTTGCGTGCCCAAGGATTTAATACACCCTCCAGAATATTTTTGCTATAATATTCGGCATTTACTCTGATGACACGGTCGATTAATACGAGCGGAGAGCGACCATCGGCTGTTATGGCGAGCCACACCATCATTATGGCCGGCGTTTGAGTTATTGGTGGCCAACCGAAAGTTCACATTTTCAGCTGACCTCTTTGGCAAGTAAACACGGTCAGTTCGTCAGTTTACAAACTGCTGGACAAGGAATGTTTTCTCATCGGAGAAAACCAAATTCGACAATTCACCACCTTCGGCCAAGCGAAGCAACTCCGTAGCTCTATTTTCTTTCCGTTGCGGTGTAGGTTCTTGCAATTTTTGGAATTCCAATGGCTTTACCCCGAGCTCACTTTTTCAATATTTGTCGTATGGAATATTGGGATATGTTCAGCTCTCGAGCTATTTTTCGGCTCTGTTTTTAGAGTTCACAATAGACTTTAAAAAATTTATAAAAAAATCCACTTTTGTGTAGCTCGGACTAGTACTTGAAATGTTGTAAAAATCATATCTATGAAACTCAGACTAGCCTTTGGAATTTTCTTAAAAAATCGCAAATATTATTGAAATTTAAGAGCAATCATTGTAATATTCTTAAAAATAATTGTTTTTTTTTGGACTCAAAATAGTATTTGATTTTCAAAAATATCCTCAAAAATTATCGATGTTGGAGTTCGGAATCGTTTGAAATAATATTATAAATGATATGATAAAGGGTTTCCGTACAAAAAATCCCTCCAAAGGACTTCCATACGCACTAAAAATTCTATAAATCCGAGATTTTTGAATGTTACATGTCAACAGAGCTGCCAGAGACAAAGGTCCTTCTAATAGAACTTCTGATGACAAAAAACCTTTCTTCATTTATTGCATGGATAAAATACCTCCTGATTTTCTCTTTATATCTCTCTCTCTTTTTAGCACATCACATAACGGCCAAATTCTATGCTCATCATCAACAGCGGGAACCCAGAAATGATAAGGCATATCGCAACTTTATTGAAAGACCCTGTCCCGAACGACATCAAACGGAAAATCATGTATATGGATGGATGCCTCAGACACTCAAGGCCACCCAGTTGCTTCGAGAATTGAATTTTATCAATGCTCCCAAACAGCGATGTTGCCTTACCGTTTACGGAGAGATACTGCAGAGCGATAAAATTACCGAGAGAGCGGGATTTAATGGCTTGCGTTTTCATTTGCAATAAAAAAAATAATATCTTTTTTAAAGTTATTTTTTAATCGAATAGTTTTTTTATTTTGTATAAAAATAATATTTTTTTAATTTTTAACTTAAACAACTAATTGCAGACTTATTAATGAATGACATTTTCCTTAAAAATAATTAAATGTGATCTGGATATGGTGATAAAAGTAAGTTATGCCAGTGCTACTGTATATTCAGTTGGTTCCGGTTCTTCTTTGTTGCGGGGACCAAAGAAACTCAGGAGTACGGGTAATAATATCAAACCATGGGCAGCTCCAATTAGCACAATACCCAAATACATGCGGAAATAGAAGACCTCAAAGACCTGGGAATTTGAGAAACCCAAGACAATGATACCGGCAAATTTGGTGAGCGTAATGCCGGAGAGGACACTGCTACCCGTCACCGCCAGCGATTGACGGGCACGTTCCTGTCTGGTACCAATGGCATTCTTATACGAGCGTATAATGTGCGATACAAATTCCACACCAATACCCACACACACCACCAAATTAACCAATGAGATGGCATTCAGGGTGATGTTCCAGGCCCACATCATGCCACACATATTTACCAAAATCAGGAAGACCATAAAGAGTACCATGCCAGCCGAAATAATATCGAATCCAGTTATGAGGAAGGTCACCATGAATACAGCCAGCAAAGAGATACCCAAGGAGAAGATGGCATCATCCCATATTGTCAAATATTGTTCATAGAATATGAAGAAGACACAATAGGGAAAGATGGAGGCATCAACATTGTTCTCCTTTAACATCGCATTGATTTCATCGGCCACACGTCGGGCCTCACGCAAAGCCGAATAGAATTGTATGGAGGTCGTTGAGGTTGTGGAGTACTGCATAAAATACGTATCCAATATGGTACTATCTCCCTCATTGTCCAGGGTGTAAACAACGGCCTGTGAGGGGAGGGATGTGAAGATGGTGATTTAAGAAATCCTTTTTTTGTTATATTTTGTACTTACATCGGCATAGGAAGCTCTGCCAGCCTTGGCACACTCAGCATCCGGTAAGTCAGATAAGAAATAGGGAATATATTTCCTAAAGGTTTCATTAGTGGGTCTAAGGCCATCTGCCATAAACGAGCGGGGACAGGGTTCACATTCGTATTCCTTAGAATCTGTTGAAAAATAAAAAGAGAGAGAGAGCATGGAAATGTTAGAGTGAAGGAATTATAAAAGCAACAAATAAAATAGTAATAAGTTCGGCCGGGCCAAACATTGAAAGAATTCGACTATTTAAAAAAAAAATAAATAAATAAATTGTTCAAATCTTAAAAACACCAAATGTAGACGTTATATTAGGGTCTATAGGACGACGAGGACCGGCATAAGCCATTACAATACTCAAATGCGAAACTTAGCTAAAATAATCAAAATACCGATATCGGGAGGTATCATTATATGAGGGCTATACTTAAACGTGGACCTGCACGAAAATTGTTCTGTCATAGCCTGTAGTATCCATTACGAACTTCAAATACCAAATTTGAAACAATAATATCGCTAAAATCATCAAAATACCCAATATCGCAGGGGTGCCGTTATATGGGGCCTATACGAAGACGTGGACCTGCGTTATATAAGGGGTTATACAAAAACAGAGACCTGTGCAGACAATTTTCTGTCATAGGCTGCAATATCAAGTATGAACTTCAAATACCAAATTTGAAACAATTCCCGTCGCTTTAATCATCAAAATACCGGAAATAGGGAGGGATGGGGATACCAAAACCTGGACCTACATGGTCCATTTTCAATACCAAAAGTCCTGCAGACATAATATACATTTGAGTAAAGTTTTATCAAACTTCTTCATTTCATTTGGAAGCTAGAGTGATTTCCACAGACAGACAGAGGGACGGACATCACTAAATCGACATAGAATTTTATGCTGATCAAGAATTTACAGGGTGAAATAAAAAAAAACTGCAACAAAGTCCGATGCCATAGTTTTAACATTTTTTTTAAATTTCATTGAATGAAAGCGAAAAATGTCGGAAATATCATCAAATTTTAGAATAAGTTTAGATTTGTTCGAATCGGTCACATTTGGCACGAATTATGGCCTTCAAACGGCCAATGAAACCGCGCTGCCCGAATGTTGCTCAGCGGTATTTTGACCCATTCCCGGCGAAGCGCTTACTTGAGGTGATCGACACTTTGGTATTTTTTAGTGCCAACCTTGCTTTCCAAAATACTCCAGACACAATAGTCCAACGGATTGTATCCGGAGACTTTGGTGGACATTGTGCGCTGGAAATTAAGTGAGGAACCTTATTTTGTAACCATTCTTGGGTAGCGCGTGCTGAGTTCTGTTGCAATGTTTAAGGTCTGCGTCCAAAATATTTGTGTGCCCAATGCTTTAATACACCCTCCAGAATATATTCGCGATAATATTTGGCATTTTTTTTCTGATGCCACGGTCGATTAATACGAGCGGAGAGCGACCATCGGCTGTTATGGCGGCCCACACCATCACCATGGCCGGCGCTTGAGTTCTGGTGGCCAACCGAAGATGCACATTTTCAGCTGACCTCTTTGACAAGTAACACGAACATTTTGTTTGTTTATAAACTGCTGGACAACGAATGTTTTCTCATCGGAGACGGAGAAAACCAAATTCGGCCACTTTCGGCCAAGCGTAGCAACTCTTTAGCTCTTTTGTGTCTATTTTCTTTCTGTTGCGTTGTAAGTTCTTGCACTTTTTGGAATTTCAATGGCTTTGCCGTGAGCTCATTTTTCAATATTTGCCGAATGGAATATTGCGATATGTCCAGCTCACGAGCCATTTTTCGGCCACTGCGACGCGGGTTTCGATAAAGTCGCTTCTTTACTTTTCGAACCATTTCTGCTGATTGCTGTTTTTTTCCGTCCACTTCCTTGACGTCGGGCAACGATAATGAGCGATGGTACGAAACACAAAAGATTTATTCACATTTAAATGCTGGAGTGCTCTAACGATAGCCACTTGTGGTTTTCCAGCCAAATAAAAAGAAATCACACGCTTACGCTAGAATTCCATCACGAATAACTTTTTTTCTGGATAATTCTCACTAAAATGCTTTTGTGCGCTTGTAAACAATATAAAGAGCTGTTACTGGAATAATTTTAACAGCTGTCGGACGAGTGGCTTGGAAATGACAGCAGTCTGAAGTTAGTTGCCGTTTTTTCATCTCACCCTGTATATCAATTCCCGGCATTTAGCTATGATTAAGACTTTGACGTCTTCTAGGACCTATAGTAGAATTTTATGACAAATATTTTTGTAGAACATTTGGACTAGCTACCATCTCGCTTAGAGAGTTTTTAACCACATTTTAAAAAAAGGACCAAAAATTCCTCGCCGAAGACACTATACACCATAAATGTACGAATTCCGAGAAATCCTATTACGAAAATTTTCAAAAATGTGTTAAAGGGGGGTTTTCCCCTTCTCTTTTGGTTACCCTTCGACGTAAACTTTCAAAACGCCGATGCACGAGTCTCCTTTTTTAGCTTTACTTTCATAATTTGCTGGATTTTCCCCGAAAGTAGTTTTTGGTGTTATACAGTGTACAAAATCTCTAAATCTTACTTAAACGTCAGGAATTTTCACAAAAAAATAAAATATATATTGTACTTACTACTGGGGCAGAACGTATTATCGGTCGTATTAACTTTACAGCAATCGGCAATACCCAACCAGTCGATGTAGTCATCAATCCATGATGTTGCTGGACGGGCGAGGTAAGTTCTGTAAAAATAAAATTATAATAAATAATATATAAAAATAAAAAATAATATATTTTTTAATTGTTTATTTTAGAGCCAATATGAAGTACTGCAGACATCGAGGAATCTCAGATGCTATTCTGAGCTCCAAAACCATGGATTTTTAAAACAATATTTTAAATGCTATTCTGAGAACCAAAAACGAGGATTATTTAAAATATTTCAGATAATATTTTGAGATCTATCAGCATTGGTTTATTTTACAATATTTCAAAGGTTATTCTGAGCTCCATATTTCAAAGGTTATTCTGAGATCCATGGAAAGGGATTATTTGGCAATATTTCAAAGGCTATATAACAGAGGCTCCATAGCGAGGGACTTTTTTCACAATATTTCAAGGCTGAGATAGCAATATCAAATTTCAGAATTCCAGTTCTATCCTTTCACCCAATACCAAATTTAGTACCATTTAGTACTTTTCTTACAATTATAGTACACATTTTAAAAACCATCTCCATATTTCAATTCCAGATACGAACAGAAATCTTAATATCAAATTTGAGGATTTCAGCCCTATATCAAATTTAGCACCATATAGTACTTTTCGTACAAATATAGAGCGCATTTCCAAACTACCGTTAAATCTAAAATATAGATACCATCAGTAATCTAAACATCAAATTTCCGAATTTTTATGTCTATCCCTTAACATAATACTAAATTTAGTACCATTTAGTACTTTTCGTACACATTTCCGAAAGCGCCTCCATATGTCCAGGCTAGTAAGAATTTTAAGATTTCAAGCACTATCTGCTCACCCAATACCAAATTGTACCAAATATAGTACTATTTAGTACTTTTCGTTCACTTTTCGTGTCCATTTCCAAAAGCACCTCTTAACCACAAAGTTACCACCAACAGAGAATCTAATACAATTTTTCCAAATTCCTGCATCATCCATTCATCCATAAAACAAATTGTTCCCAATTTAGTACCATTTAGTACATTTCGCATACTTAGTACACATTTCCGAAACCACCTTCATTTATCGAACTAACTTTCCAATCTTGATTCTCATACCTAATTGCAAGTTCATAGCTCTATCCGTTCACATAATACCAAATGGTACTATTTTCGATGTTTAGTACCATTTACGGACTTTTCGTAACTTTAAAGTTCGAATTTCCAAAAACCCTTTGGTACATCCATCCGGCACTTCTTCAGTAACTCTCATTCCGAATTTCAGAATTCTAGCTTATTCTATTTGTCCAACACAAAGTACTCAGTTTTTAGTACTCTTCGTACCCTTTGTTACGAATTTTCGAAAACCTAGCCTTATCACACGCCTGCGCACCAACATTGGCCCTCGTCCAAAATTTTAAGATTCTTGGCATTTTTTGAGTATCTCCAAGGTCACTTTAAACTTTTCAGAAAATTTCAAGGGCCACCATAAAGTCCTGCAAGTTCGAGGTGCATGCAGCGTTCAAGAATAAAGTCCTAAGGAAGCTCTGAATATCTAGTCTAGGGGATATTGTAAATCTATTTCAATAGCATTTTAAGTGAATTTTTCACAACCTATACGGAGCTCCAGCTAAGATCATTTTTGAGAAAATCTCTCAAAAATCTTTCCTAAGCTCCAATGAAACGGGTTATTTAAGCAAATTCCTTAAACCTTTCAATACTTACATATCGGGATAGAGGGACTGTGTGTACAGCTGTACCGACAGCGAATTATTGTTACATTCCACACCACCACATATGAGATTTTGATGATCACGCTCTGTGTAATCCAAACCGGGTTTCAGAACCCAATAGACCGGTGCACCCATTGCCAATAGATCATCCATGTAACGGAAATATTTAACAACATGGGAATCCTTGGGCATGGACATTTCCTGGTCCAAACCCAATTCCAAATTGGGTGTTACCAGCAAAGACAGGGTGGTGACCACAAAGAAAACAATGCAGACAATGACTTTTACGGGTCTGGAATATGGAAATGAATTTCAAAATTATTTCATATCCAAAAAAAAAAATCCACTACTTACTTCGACAGAATGAAGGGAGCATAGAAATTTTTAAACAGCTTTTCCAAAACTCCAACACTGGCATCACTTTCGCTCTCCTTTAGCTGCTTAGAGGTTTTACAGCAGCAGAACAAATCCAGGCGACCCGACTCATAGCGTCTCTCGTCCAACGCCATCATGGCCACAAAGGCCGTAATTTGGAAGAGGAAATTAAAGAAAATTGCAGCAGCAGCATACATGGCAAAGGTCTTGACAGCCGGCATATCCGATATGGCACCAATGGCAAAACAAGCAAATTCCGAACCAGCCGTTTGCAGTATCGAAGGTCCCACCTGGCCCATCGCCTCACCAATGGCCTCGGCAATGCTGTCAAACTTTTTGCGATTCAAACGATGATAGGTATGGACCATAATGAAGATATTGTCCACACCCACAGCCAAGACCAAGAACGGTATAACCTCAATGGCCAACATTGTTGTGACCACATTCAAATAACCCCAGAATCCCAAACTGCAGAGCACCGAAGCCAGCACAATGATAATGCCGCCAATGGCCAGGACTATCTTCGATTCTCGCAGGAAATGTAAACAGCTACGGATTTTACCCAAAGCAATGGCCACATAGATGAACATCACCAGATAACTGATTGCCACCGTGGAGACTTCACCTTCCGAAAGCTCAACGATGGCATCCTGAATGGAACGTTCGGCCGAGTAGGCAATATCAAGTTGATCATTGGTATAGTTCTTCATAAAGTCCACAAAACGTTTTTCCCATTCCAGGTTGGGTTCCAGCAGAGCTTCATTGTTTTGATTTTTGCCAAGGAAGGTCAAAACGACACCGGTGGCCAGCAGATAATTGGGTTCTTCGTCGCCACTTACTTTGGGCATGCCGCCCACGGAAATGCCAGGTTCAATGGGGCCACCATAGGGACCGAAACAGGCCTCCAACATGGGAACGCTGGTAGGGAAAAATGAAAATAGCCAGGGTTAGATTTTTTCTTAGGTTCCGCCATGGGAAAACCGTCATTCAGCCAGACTGAATAGGGTTTTCACCATAGGAAAACTTCTATTCAGCGGGTTTCCCCAAAGGGAAACTTCTATTCAGGCAGGCTGAATAGGGCTCATCCCCCTTAGGAAAACTTTTATTCAGCCAGGCTGAATAGGGCTTTTCCCCATATAGAAAAACTTATATTCAGCCTGGCTGAATAGGGCTCTTCCCCCTTAGGAAAACTTCTATTCAGCCTGACTGAATAGGGCTCTTCCCCCAAAGGAAAACATATTTTCTAATGGTTTTCCATTGGACAACTTCTATTCACTTTGGCCGAATCAGGTGTACTCACTTTAAGCAATCCTCCAGATGATTCAAATAATTGATGACATAACCATTTTCATCCTCATATTCCGTTTCGAAAAATTCCAAATCATTTTGAAAGAATCCATAGATCGATTGGACAATACATTTATCGACAGTGGTCTTTTCGCCGGGATACATGACGGGAGCATAGCATACTTTATCCAGACCAATACCATCTTCCATACCAATTGCCTCAATGGCTTCCTGCAGTTTGAATACTTCCAAGAGGAAATCCTTTTGATAGGCCGGACCAAATTCCACTGTACCGGCAGAAGTGACATGGGTGAACTAAGAGAGGAAGATAGAGAGAGAGAGAGAGAGGGATCATAAGTATGACCTACATCTAAAATGCTTGCCTCAAGTCCAACTTACCCCTGAGGCATTAGTGGGCTTAATGAACACTTGATTGGTCCTGTAGAAGGGGCCAAAGTGGGCATCGAAATATTCCTTTTCTATACGGGTTTGACTCTCTTCGCCAGCCCACAACTCAATGGGATCCGTGGTCACTTGCATATAAATAATTCCATAGCAGAGACCGCCAATTATCCATGACAGTACGGCCAGAACCAAAACGGGATGTTTGGCACAGAATGTACCGCCCGCACGAAACACTTTGTACAGGACATCATTGAAACAACCAAAGCCCGAAAAACAGAAGCACTGGGGACTATTACTGTTCGAGCGCAACCTTTCAAATACCCACACCGCCACAATGACGACAACTAAACCGGCAGCGATGAACAAACCCATGAAAACAAAAACCTCCTCATGGCCCACGGGAATATCGGTAATGGCACACGATTCGGCACAGTCAATGCAGGCACAGGCATATGAATTTTCATAGGCCTCGGAACAGGATAGCGGAGACATTTTAAATCGGTCATCCTCCGTATCATCCTCCAAGAATATGTAGTTGATGGGAAACGGCACATAGTCGCTGAGTTCGGTGTCACCCATGAATCGGTACCATTTCTGATGGTCACAGGTGCGAGCATTGTATGCACCACAACCCAAGTCCATGGCAGGACGACCTGTTTGTGAATGCTGTATGGCCTTACAGCTGTTATAAACGCCCTCCACAAATCCATCATCAATACGGAAATCGATTTTTTCCACATAATCCCAGGTATCGTGCTTTGCGGTATAAGCGGTCAGGAAGAGGCTATGATTTTGGGCACATGTCATGGCACAGATGCTGAGACCCATGTTCAATGTACACGTTGGACAGCGGGAATATATACCATCCGCCTGAGACATACCCTGATCCATGGTTAAGATTTGGCCGCTGTCACAGCACAAATTCAAGGGAGCTGAGAGAAACGTTTCATTATTTCAAAAGAGAGAGAGAGAGAGAGAGAGGAGGAGGAAATTAGGGGAAAAAAAAACAATTCAAAGAAAACAATTCTCACCATCCGGATCATTGCCTTTATACTCATTGTATAGGATGGGACAACGTGTTTTGAATATTGCCTCGGCCTGGCTATCATTCAGAGGCAGAGCTTCACCACCATAGGCCTTATTTTTCCAATGTGCCCCAACCATATGACTGTGGCCATACCATATGCATTTGCCATCGCTTTGTGGTAGAGTTTGTAAAAAGAGCAGGAGACAACTTATGGACAATATCACAGCTGTGTTATTCTTGGGTACTGAAATAAATAAAACATTTAAATTAAATTAAAAAAAAAAAATTATTTCAAAATCTATTGAAATAAGGAGGAAGAGAATAGGGCATTTTTTATTTGATTTTTATATCCATCACCATTCTATGGAGGGTATATTAGCTTTGTCATTCCGTTTGTAACTCCTTGAAATATTCATGATAGACCCTACAAAGTACTTACAGGGTGAGATAAGAAAAACGGCAACAAAGTCAAAAGCCATAATTTTAACATGTTTTTTTTTTTAAATGTTATTGAATGAAAGCAAAAATTTGTCGGGAATAGCATCAAGTTTAAGAACAAGTTTAGATTTGTTTGAATTGGTCACCTTTGGCACGAATTATGACCTTCCAACGGCTAATGAAACCGTCACACACTGCCCGAATGTTGCTCTGCGGTATTTTGGCCCATTCCCGACGAAGCTCTTGCCAACCTTGTTTTCCAAAATACTCCAGACACAATAGTCCAACGGATTGGTATCCACGAGGAACCTCATCCTGTAAACATTCTTGGCTGGCGCGTGCTGACCCCCAATTGAAATGTCCAAGGTCTGCGTCTGAAATGTTTGGGTCTACACCCTTCAGAATATTTTTGCGATAATATTCGGCATTTATTCAGATGCCACGGTCGATTATTATGAGCTGAGAGCGAACATCGGTCGTTAGCCACTTGTGGTTTTCCAGCCAAACGCTTGAACTCCATCACGAATAACTTTTTTTCTGGAAAATTCTCAATAAAATGCTTTTGTACGCTTCTGTCACTGGAATAATTTTAACAGCTGTCGGACGAGTGGCAGTGGAGTTTTTTCATCTCACCCTGTATATTCTAAAACGATTTAAGACGATTTAGGGATGTCCGCCTGCCGGTGTGTCTGTCTGTTGTAATCATGCTGTCTTTCGAACTAATTGAGAAAGAAGGCTAAAATTTTAAACACATGTGTATTTCGGAAGTAGGCAGGTTAAGTTCGTAAATGGGCCATATCTGTCGAAGTTTTCGTATAGCCCCCATATAACGGTACCTCCCCATATTCGGTATTTTTATGATTTTAGCGACATAATTCACCCGAATTATTTCAAATTTTCTAGTCGAATTTTCTAATGGGTACTACAGCCTCTGTCAAAAAATGTCATATGCAGGTCCACGCCTTCGTATAGCACCTATATAACGGTACCTTCCGACAATCCGTATTTTGTTGATTTTAGCGACATTGCCTGCCGTAATTGTTTCAAATTTCGTATTTGGAGTTTCCAATGGGTACTACAGCCTATAGCAGAAAATTGTCTATGTAGGTCCAGGTCTTCGTATGGCTCCCAAATATCGGTACCCCCCTATAATCGTTATTTTGATGATTTTAACAGAATTTTTAAAGGATTCTATTTATTATTATTATTTTTTTTAAATTTCCAAATTTGTTCCAAATGGTGGAGGATATTCAAACTTTGGCCCAGCCGAACTTACTAGGTTGTAGGTTGTTGTACCCATTTCCAAGCCATACGAAGACCTGGACATGCCTCGATAATTTTGTGTCAAAGAAATTCGAAATTTGAAAGATGAATAATACATCTAAAATCAACAAAATACCGAATACAGGGAGTTACCGATATATGGTGGCTATACGAAGACCTTGACCTGCATATACAATTTTCTGTCACAAGCTGTAGTACCTATTAGGAACTTCAAATACAAAATTGGAAACGATTCCGGTGAATAATGTCGCTAAAATCATTAAAATACCGAATAAAGGGAGGTGCAGTTATGTGGAGGCTATACCTAAACGTGAACCTCATTTTCAATACCAAAAGTCCGGCATACCAAACACATATCTGAGTAAAATTTTATCAAGCTACTTCAATTCTTTCGGAAGCCAGAGTAATACTATGGTGGAGAGTATAAAAACTCAAGCAATACTTTGAATCGGTGTTTACCCGGAGGCTATACCAAAAAGTGGATCGATATGACCCATTTTTTAGATCAATGAAACTTGAAGTAATCCGGAGGTCTGCAAACTTTTTTAAAGCTCTATATTAAATCTTGCGAAGGGTATCTTAAAATATTAGGGAACCCTTTGTGTATGGTCAAGGCTGTATAAAAGGCCTTAAACAAGTTTGGCCTATGAACCCGAAACTCTTTGGGGTTTTTGTCCAAAAACCGGGTTCTTTTTATAATCACTTGGAAATTTCCAATAACCACACTGTTTATTGAAAGATAAAATTATTAGGAAATTTGCTGGAAATTTTGAAAATTTTAATTTAATTTAAAATTATTCGAAAATAAAAAAGGTTTTTTTTTTTTTTTAACCAAAAGTATATGACATTTTTATGTGGTACAAGTTACATATACAAATGTCTTTTGTTCAGAGACTCACAATGAAATTTGATCTAGAATATTTCATCCTTTGACAGTTTCCCCAAAAAATTAGGTATTATGTGAGATTTTGACTCAGAAGGGAAACGTGCTAAATTAGCATTAATGAAACTTAAACACATAATTTTCAGTTGAAATATATAACTTCTAATGTAATTTTCTTAAAAAACTATTAAAAAGTTAAAAAGCAGTAAATTCGGCCGGGCCGAACTTTGAATACCTTCCACCATTTGAAAGGATTTTGAAAATTTTCAAAAAATTAAATCCGTTAAAAGTTCTATTAAAATCTTTTCTGTCCTAGGCTGTAGTATCCATTACGAACTTCAAGTGCCAAATTTGAAACAATTCCGGTGAATAATGTAAATTCCGGTCATCAAAGAACCGAATAAAGGGAGGTACCGTTATATGAGGGCTATAGGAAGACGTGGACCTGAACAGCAAATTTTCTGTCATAGGCTGTTGTTGCCATTGCGAACTTCAAATTCCAAATTTGAAACATTTCAGGTGAATCACCAAAAAATAGGGATGTACCATTATATGAGGGCTATACCAAAACGTGGACCTACATGGCCCATTTTCGATACCAAAATGCTGTAGAGACTACTTCAATTTGTTCGTAAGTGATTTCCACAGACGGATAGACGCACGGATCACTTTGTGGGGTCTAAAATGTATATTTCGAGGTGTTACAAACGGAATGACAAACTTAATATAAATTATTATGTCGTTAACATTTCAATTAAAAAATAATTCAAAATTTTGCATATTATTTTCCATATTATACTATATTTTCCAGCACGTGCGACACACTATTTTTTCGTATCGATTTGTTTTACACAAGCTCTTAGTTTAATCTTGCTTCAAGTCATTTTTTTTTTTAAATAAATCACAAAAAGACATCGATACAATCTTTAATTCTCAATTTCAATTGACAATCGCCCTTTCAATCAAGCCCTTTTTTTAATTCTGAAAAAAATTTCCACAAATATCAAACACTTGAACTTTGATAATCGAACCATGATGAATAATTTTGCTTTTGTGTAACTATAATTTAAATTAAAAAAATATTAAAATAAATTTTAAATACCATTCATTTTCACTTTTTGTTCGATTAAATCCTCAATTTCGAAAATATATTTTTTTCAACACAATTAATCCTTGTTCGGAGCTAGCGTTTGCATTTATTCCATTATATAAAATTAATTTTTATTTTTTCCCCCTTTCAGGACTTCACTATCACTTATGCCACAAAACTAATTACGCTGAATATCAAAACCGGTCCGCGTGCAATGAACGACCGTCGAAAACTGTATGAATTATTCACATGTTGCCGAACTTATTGGTTATCCGAATTACCAGTGTTTTATTTTGAGATAAACCAATCTATCGCAAAAAAACCTGTGTGGATTTTGATAAGATTTCCGCGGAGGACGAATCATTATTTCGGCTCGGCTCGGCTCGGCGTCGGCCAGTCAAACAACCAACGATAAGCCAAACTAACTGCCAAGGTGTTCAACCACCAACCACCTGCACCACCGAATTTTGGCCCGGCTGTGAATTATTTGTCATTTAATGGTGTTTAATTGACTGAAATACGAGCAATAGAATAGGTTTATGGATCCTTTATAGCGTCGTGTGGTTATTTAGGGGCGGGGGAAATCCAAAAGATTAGTGAAAACATGTGAATGTATTTTTAGTTTCGGAGTGTGTATATATGTATATCTACATATGTATAGATTTGAAATCGTGATTGACGGATCGAACAATAAAAGACAGCTAATATGGAGTTTGAATTATTTCAGGCAATGAAGGATTTCAATTGAAAATAGAATGGAAAATATCTTTAATTAATTATTTATTGATTTATTCGACCTATCTTTATTATCTTTAATTTCTAGAATTAGATCAAATATTTAATAACTCAAAACCCTTTTTCTAAAATTAGTAAGACATTTTGAATTTCTACCTTATTTTTACTCTGTTTCAGAATCTGCAGAGATCTACTAATTTTGCAATTTTTTCGATATTATAAGAGAACATGATTTCCTTTGTTGTGTGTTTTCTAAAAAAAACATCCAATAGCCTATCTATAAGATCATCCGATAAAACCCGCTGATTTTATCCATATTGTCAAAATGCATGTCATTGCGACTTAAACCATTGTAGAAGAATACAGGTAGTCGCATCCAAGTAGATGCTGGGTCAATTAATTGTCAAACCAATTTTGAAATTGTAAATTTTGAATGAAAATTATTTTAGTTTGTAAAAATTATTAAAAAATATATATCACAACCTCCGATTGGCGTATCGGAAAACATATACAAATCCATTTTCAGGGTGAGATAAAAAAACTGCAACTATCTTCAGACTGCTGTCATTTCTAAACCACTCATCCGACAGCTGTTAAAATTATTCCAGCGACAGCTCATTATATTGTTTACAAGCGTACAAAAGCATTTTGGTGTGAATTTTCCAGAAAAAAAAAGTAAAAAAGCTGTAAGTTCGGCCGGGCCGATCTTTGAATATCCTCCACCATATGGAACGATTTTGGCAATTTTCAAATAAATGAAATCCGTTAAAAATTCTATTAAAATCTAAAAAATACCGAATGCAGACGTTATATTAGGGTCTATACGACGATATGGACCTGCATAGGTAAATTTTGTCATAAACCATTAAAATATTCAAATGCGAAGCTTGAAAAAAAAACTCGTTGAATAATGTGTAAAATTCCGCATATAGGGAGGTACCGTTATATTGGAGCTATACGAAGTCTGGTGAATAATGTCGCTAAAATCATGAAAGTACCGAATATCGGGAGGAACCGTTATATAGGGGCTATATGAAGACGTGGACTTGCATAGACAATTTTTTGTCATAGGCTGTAGCATCCGTTACGAACTTAAAATACCAAATTAGAAACACTTCCGGTGAATAATGTCGCTAAAATCATCAAAATACCGAATATCGGAAGGTACCGTTATATGGGGCTATACGAAGACGTGGACCTGCACAGATAATTTTCCGTCATAGGCTGTAGTACCTATTACGAACTTCAAATACCAAATTTGAAGTTCGTTTCGGTGAATAATGTCAAAATACCGAAAAAAGGAGGTATGGGGGCTATACCAAAACGTGGACCTAAATCACCCATTTTCAATATCAAAAGTTCTGCAGACATAATACACACTTGAGTAAAATTTTATAAACATACTTCATTTTGTTCGGAAACTAGAGTGATTTCCACAGAAGGATAGACTTACAGACGGACGGACATGGCTAAATCGACATAGAATTTTATGCTGATCAAGAATATATATACATATATATATATATATAAATAAATATATATATATATATATATATATATATATATATATATATATATATATATATATATATATATATATATATATATATATATATATATATATATATATATATATATATATACTTGGTGGGGTCTAAAATTTATATTTCGAGGTGTTGCAAACGGAATGACAAACTTAATATACCCTCCATACTATGGGGGAGGGTATGAAAATTTTCGTGATGGAATTCAAGCGTGATAGTGTGATTACCTTATATTTGGCTGGAAAATCAAAAGTGGCCATGGTTAGAGCACTCCAGTATTTAAATGAGAATAAATCGCTTGTGTCTCGTGGAATAGCTCGTTACTGTGGTACTAGTAGCGTAGCCCGACGTCAAGGAAATGGACGGAAGAAAACAGCAACATCAGCAGAAATGAAGCGACTTGATCGTAACCCGCGTCGCAGTGGCCGAAAAATAGCTCGTGAGCTGAATATATCGCAATATTCCATTCGGCAAATATTGAAAAATTAGCTCGGGGTAAAGCCATTGAAATTGCAAAAAGTGCAAGAACTTACACCGCAACAGAAAGAAAATAGACTCAAAAGAGCAACAAAATGGCTATGGTGATGGTGTGGACCGCCATAACAGCCGATGTTCGCTCTCCGCTCGTATTAATTGACCGTGGCATCGGAATAAATGCCGAATATTATCGCGAAAATATTCTGGAGAGTGTATTAAAGCCTTGGGCACACAAACATTTTGGCCGCAGACCTTGAACATTCCAACAGGACTCAGCACCATCGCACTCAGGATGCGCCAGCCAAGAATGGTTACAAAATGAGGTTCCTCGCTCCATTTTCAGCGTACTATGGCCACTAAAATCTCTGGATAACAATCCGTTGGACTATTGTGTCTGGAGTATTTTGAAAAGCAAGGTTGGCACTAAAAAATACCAAAGGTGACCTCAAGCAAGCGCTTCACCGGGAATGAACAAAAATACCGCAGAGTAACATTCGGGCAGCATGTGACGGTTTCATTGGCCGTTGAAAGGCCATAATTGGTGCCAAAGGTGACCAATTCGAACAAATCTAAACGTATTCTACAATTTGATGCTATTTCCGACATTTTTTGCTTTTGTTTGATTTTGACAACCCCGGAATATGTTTCATATGTAATTAAACACACTCCTAACTCAAGGGTTCGACTTGAGTATGTAAATTGACTTACTCTGGGCAATTGTGTTGTCTATAGGGCCACTTACGACAAAAGTGTTTTAATACACCTCTCCGCCTTTAATCTGACCACGGTTATCCAACAGCAAGTAGAATTCCCTGAGCAAGTTCTTTCTCCTGGAAGAGCAATTTGTCCAAATATTATCTTCCTCTGTTGAGACACGCCAAAATTCTCGCCTTCGTTTAGTTCCACTTTTAGCTTAATTTTTATGCAATTTTCTCCAAAATTAATTTGCAATTTTTACTCATCACTGTGTTGGGTTATTTTTTCCTTTTTTGTTTGCCTCTAGCCCGTCACCAAATTAAAACACTTCTTCACTCTTTAATTGTTTCAAATAAGAATGTTTTATTTCTTTTCTATTCTGGTTTAACAACCAAAGGAATAGCGGGACAATATTTTTTGCATTGAATAGCAGCAGAGCGATCAGCAGAGGCAGAGCAATAACATAAACAGATATGATGCACTCAACGTATGTATGTATGTTTGTACGTATGTGCGTTCTCTGCCTATCACTTGATCGTCTGACTGCTCATCCATATTTACAATAACAATGCTAGTTATGATGGATTCTCTTTAGGGCGAATTCAAAGTAAATAATAGAAAAGGGAAAACAGAAAAAATGACATTAAGGTGGCTCTTGTAGCGTTAAAATATTAAGTACTGAAAATAATTAATTTAAATAATGTTATGTTTTCAAAAATGCTCTTTGAGCAACAAATCAAATTTAAATAATATTAAAAAATCATTTGAGTGATTTAACATCCCGGGCCCCATTGAAACCCTTGTTTCAATCAAACTTTATTCTTTAGGAAGTACGGCTAACTTTGCCACGGGACGCTTTAATGTAGTTTGTGATGTCTTGACTTCTGCCACTCGAACAAAACCGTCTGCTCCTGGAATAAGTTTGGTAACACGACCGATGGCCCATTTCATGGGGGGAACATTGTCTTCGTGTATGAGCACCATATCGTTGACTTGTAGATTTTGTTGTGGGTTTTTCCAGCGATAACGATTTTGTAACTGAGCCAAGTATTCTGTGTGCCACCTGCTCCAGAAATGAGACTTTATGGCTGAGATTCGTTGCCACTGTTGTAGATGAGAAATGTCAGAGTCATATTTTATCTTCTCTGGAATACACTGCAACGGGCAACCAATGAGTAAATGCCCTGGAGTAAGCGCTTCTAAGTCGTTGGGATCTGTGGATATCTGGCAGATAGGACGGGAATTTAAAATTGCCTCTATTTCAACAAGGGCTGTGCATAGCTCTTCAAATGTAAGACGAGCACTAGGGAGCGTTCTGAGCAAGTGGCCTTTAGCTGATTTCACAGCAGCTTCCCATAGTCCACCAAAATGAGGAGCTCTGGGAGGAATGAAGGAAAATTCTATGAACTTCGCAGATGAATAATGAGCAATTGCTTCCTTATTTTTGTCGAGGTGGAAAAATTTATGAAAATCACTCAATTTCCTCTCTGCTCCAACAAAATTGGTAGCGTTATCGCAATAAATTCTTGACGGTACACCTCTGCGGCCAGCAAACCGCTTTAATGCTGCTATGAAGGCCTCGCTGGACAAGTCGGATACCGCTTCTAGGTGTACTGCCTTTGATGCGAAACAAACGAAGACAGCAATGTAGGATTTTGATGGAGCTTTCCCTCGAATCCTGAGATACGTTGGTATGGGACCAGCAAAATCAACTCCAACAACATCAAATGGGCGGAAACCGGTAACTCGATCCTTGGGTAAGTTGCCCATTACCTGAGTGAGTAATTTCGGTTTGTATCTTGTGCAATGTATGCACTGATGAACCACCTTTCGGGCCAAAGTCCGACAATTGACAATCCAAAATTGCTGCTGAACCAAAGATACTAAGGCTCTTGGACGAGCATGGTAATTAGAGCGATGAATGTAGATCACCATGATTTTTACGAAGGGATCGGTTTTGGGCAGGAGCAAAGGAAACTTCATCTCTGGTGTAAGCTCGGCATTTAATAATCGGCCGCCAACTCTTATTAATTGCACTCCAGAGACATCTTCTATAAATGGAGCCAATGATGACAGCTGACCAGAGACAAATCCATGCTTTGATATTTCAAGGAATTCCTCCGAAAAATAATGTTGTTGAATGCACCAGACTATCCTATGGAGAGAATGTGTCAACTCATCTGGAGATATAGAGGGCAAGTGGAGCGATTTCCTTGAACGAATTCGAAATATATATGAGAATATTCTGAGACATTTTAAATAGTTACTGAATTTATGGACTGCTTTTAGGATATAGGGTAAGTCCTCCTTTTTTGTTATCAATGTAATTTTTCGTCTTTCAAGATGCATGTCCGCTTCGCTTAGACTTGGGCCAGAATAATTTGGCCAATTGAAAGATGGACCCATAAGGAAGGAAGGGCCTACGAACCAAGGCGAAACCAGTATATCGGAAACAGAACAACCTCTGGATACTAAATCAGCGGGATTGAGTTCAGTAGGAACATATTGCCATAGGACATCAGGGCAAGTTTCTTGAATCTCAGCTACTCTGTTACCCACAAAAGTAGACAAGGTTGAAGAGTGGGACTTAATCCAATGAAGAGTAATCTGAGAATCCGACCAAAAGTAGATTTGAGAAATCGGGAATTTAAAATATTGCTTTAATTGGCTCCAGAAGATTGCGAGTAAATGAGCAGCACACAACTCTAATCGAGGCAACGTTCTCGTTTTCAAAGGCGCAACTCTTGACTTTGATGCGATTAAATTTACTGCTATGTTTCCCAAAGAATCTTCACAGCGAAGATATAAACAGCAACCATATGCCTTTATTGAAGCATCTCCAAATCCATGGACCTCTATGTTAGTTGAATTTGGTAGTCGAATGTATCGAGGAATCTTTACTTGAGACAAATTATTGTAATCAGCCATGATGGATTCCCACGCTGATTCAATTTCTTGAGGAACTGATTCATCCCAATCACATTTTATGATCCAAAGATGTTGGAGCAATATTTTTGACCTGATGATGAGAGGGCTTATTAAACCCATTGGGTCAAAGAGCGTCGACGTCAGGGAAAGAATGTTTCTTTTCGTATTATGTGCATACGTTTTGGATGGGCGAAACTCAAAATGGAATGTGTCATTATCTGAGTGCCATGTCATACCCAAAGTACTTGTGACGTCATCATTTAGCTTCATTTCTTTTACTTCATCTTCACTTGAGACATAACCTGGGTAATTGCTATGCCATTTCGAGAGTGAAAATTTCGAGTAAGATAAAATTTCGGTGACTTCGTTCTTAATGCGTTTTAAAGATACAAGGTCATCCGCTCCAGTAACCATATCGTCGACATAAAAATCATTCATGATTATGCCTTTTCCTACTTCGTATGGGTTGGGAAAACGTTCTGCGGCATAATGTAGGCTTCGAATTGCGAGATATGGTGCCGAAGCTGTCCCGTATGTAACGGTGTTGAGGGCAAATGTTTTTATCGGTTTGGTGGAGTCATCTCTCCACAGTATAAGCTGAAGTTGTCTATCCTCAGGGTGAACCAAAACCTGACGATACATTTTGACGATATCAGCTGTCATTCCGTAACGATGACACCTGAAACGAAGCAGAGTAATTAATAAATTGTTCTGGATTGTTGGACCCACCATCATAATTTCATTCAGGGATGTTTGTGAAGTGGTTCGACATGATGCGTCGAAAACAACACGCAACTTGGTCGACACACTGCTGGGGCGAAGAACACAGTGATGTGGTATGTAATAGTTGGGAACTGAAATATTAGTGTCGTCCACCTGAGACATATGGCCCAATTCCTCATATTCTTTAAGAAATTGTGAGTAATCCTCTTTTAATTCAGGGTTTTTGTTCAATTTTCTCTCTATGGAAAAGAAACGACGCAGGGCAATGTCTCGTGAATCGCCAAGCACAATTGGGTCACCTTTAAAGGGTAATCTCACCATTAAGCGTCCATCCGATTGGACTGATACATTTTTCACAAAATGGTCTTCACATACTTTTTGTTCTCGGGACATATTTTGGCATTTGCTTTCAACGACGTCAATTTTCCATAGCATTTCAATATTTTTATTTATCTCTTGGAAAATATCTTTGTGTTGTACAATGGAGTAAGTAGACCTTTGTGATGATATTGCCGTTTGACTTGTATACTTTCCAGAGACAATCCATCCCAAGAGAGTTTTTTGTAAAGTGGGCAAATTTTCTCCAAGTTTAATTTGACCAACGGATAAGAGCGAAAAGAATGATTCTGCTCCGAGTAAAATATCGATTCCTCGTCGACGATGAAATTCTGGATCAGCTAGCTCTATGTTGGAGGGCAAATTGAAATTATTAGCGGAAAGATTTTCATCAGGATGATAACCAGTTATATTGCGAGAAACCAGGAACTCTAATGACATATTGAAGTTATTAAGACGAGATCTTATTGTCGTTTGTGTTTTATGAGTAACTCTCAACTTAGAAGAACCAACTCCAGAGACATCTGTTGAATTTGTGCATTTCTTGAGATTAAGAGATTTGCATAATGTCTCACTTATGAAATTAACTTGAGAGCAAGAGTCAAGCAGAGCACGGCCCAGTTGATATTTTCCCTCTGAGTCACGAACCAATACTAATGCAGTAGCAAGAATTACAGTACTCACTTGGGGACTGGGTTTGGTTTGAAAGGTGCTATGGGTGGTAGCAGATGATGATGACGGTTCTTCTTCTTCCCGGAGACAGGTTGGTTCTGATTGCTTATGAAGAAGCGAGTGATGACGTTGTTTACAAAATCTGCATGAATATTTTGAGGGGCATTGTATGTAACCATGCCCTTTTGATAAACAGTTGAGGCAAAGTTTTTGTTGTTTAGCTTGTTCAATTCGTTGATTAGGAGTAAGAACGATGAACCGCTGACAAGTTGATATCATATGACCCGATTTGGAGCAATGACTGCACACAAAATCTTGAGCCACATTTTTTGTTACGAATGAATGTTGTTTTTGATTATTACTATGTGAGTAATTTGTTGTTATGGTAGGGTTATGCTGTTTTGAAGACCGTCGGCACTGTGCGTCCAATTGCTGACAACGCTTGTCCAACATGGAGCAACATTCAGTCCAAGAGGGTAATTTAGAGTAATCGATGTATTCATCCCATCGTTGTTTGGTTTCAGAATCAACCTTGCTCATTGCGAGATGAATTATGAAGGCATCACAAATTTGTTCAAAGGAGCCAAGGGATTTCAAAGAGCTATAGAGAGCAGAAATTGTATCCACAATATTTCTCAATTGCTTGGAACAGGTTTATTGGACTTCGGAAGTTCAAACATTGATGTCACATTTTCAAGAAAGATTAGTGTGTCATTATCGTACCGCTCCTTCAATCTTTTAAGGGCACTAGAATAATTTTCATCAGTGACTTGGAATGCCTTTATGGTTGCAAGCGCTTCCCCACTAAGACACGAGAGTAAGTGGTTGAATTTTTCCGAAGTAGAAATATTTGGGTCATTGTGGACCAAATTGTTAAACGTATTTATAAAGTTCTTATATTCCAGATATTTCCCGTCAAACTTCGGTAATTTTAAGCTGGGTAATCTATTAGATGGGACATGAGGCAACACAAAAGATTGATCAGTTACACTAGGACGTCTATCTTGCCCAATTTGAGTAAGAATTTTTGTTTTAATTGAAACATATAGTTCCTCAATTTCGGCTCTTCCATTATCTCTGGGAGACAATCTTTCTATCTGACTTTGGTAGTAAGAAGCTTGCTTGTAGTGGGATTCTACAATTCCCAACCGACACTCAAGTTCTGTATGAGACAATGAAGTGTTGGATTCAATTATATTTTTAATTCGGGTCATACTCCCCTTTGACGAGCCACGTTGTTGTTTCAATTCCTCAATGGTTGTGTCCCTTTGGGAACCCTGGACTTGTTCATCGGTCATTTGGAATTATAATTTTTTATAAATTTGTGTAAAAATGTTTTCCGTTGTTTACCGATGATAGGATTATGTTTCGCAAGAAAGAGAAGCCGGTTTATGAGAATGCCGTCTCAGTTTAATTTTCAGCTTCAGCCACTTGAGCAACGATAGTTTTAAAAATGGCACCAAAAAATTAGATGAAAAGTAGGCGAGAATGCTGTCTCACTCTAAATTTTCAATTCAGCAATATTCCTTATCGCTTATAAAAATGGCTTCGATTCTTTCGCAAAATGACGGAGTAATGGCTGACAGTAAAAAGGCGGGCAAACAAAATCCAAATGCACTTGGGTAAAATGGAGCAAAAATTGTAGGTTAAAAAGACACAAGTGTCCTGTCACGGTCGCCAATGTTTGAGGATTGCCTATTTTGACAACCCCGGAATATGTTTCATATGTAATTAAACACACTCCTAACTCAAGGGTTCGACTTGAGTATGTAAATTGACTTACTCTGGGCAATTGTGTTGTCTATAGGGCCACTTACGACAAAAGTGTTTTAATACACCTCTCCGCCTTTAATCTGACCACGGTTATCCAACAGCAAGTAGAATTCCCTGAGCAAGTTCTTTCTCCTGGAAGAGCAATTTGTCCAAATATTATCTTCCTCTATTGAGACACGCCACAATTCTCGCCTTCGTTTAGTTCCACTTTTAGCTTAATTTTTATGCAATTTTCTCCAAAATTAATTTGCAATTTTTACTCATCACTGTGTTGGGTTATTTTTTCCTTTTTTGTTTGCCTCTAGCCCGTCACCAAATTAAAACACTTCTTCACTCTTTAATTGTTTCAAATAAGAATGTTTTATTTCTTTTCTATTCTGGTTTAACAACCAAAGGAATAGCGGGACAATATTTTTTGCATTGAATAGCAGCAGAGCGATCAGCAGAGGCAGAGCAATAACATAAACAGATATGATGCACTCAACGTATGTATGTATGTTTGTACGTATGTGCGTTCTCTGCCTATCACTTGATCGTCTGACTGCTCATCCATATTTACAATAACAATGCTAGTTATGATGGATTCTCTTTAGGGCGAATTCAAAGTAAATAATAGAAAAGGGAAAACAGAAAAAATGACATTAAGGTGGCTCTTGTAGCGTTAAAATATTAAGTACTGAAAATAATTAATTTAAATAATGTTATGTTTTCAAAAATGCTCTTTGAGCAACAAATCAAATTTAAATAATATTAAAAAATCATTTGAGTGATTTAACAGCTTTCATTCAATAAAATTTAAAAAAAAATGTAAAAATTATGTCTTTTGACTTTGTTGCAGTTTTTTTTATCTCACCTTGTATGTAAATAATCGAACATTAACTGAGGGCACAGGGTTGCCCATATTCGACGGATTCCAATCGACGAGGCTTGTCCGCAGGCAACATTCTTTGCGTCAGTTGAATTTTGTACGGGAACAAATGCAAAACAAGGCGAATAATCCGTTGTAAAGTGGACCAAGCCATGCCCAACTGCTGAGAACGGCGTTTTTGGGATGTTCTTGGGGACCTCTCAACACTGGCTCGTACGGCAGCGATATTCTCGGCCGATCGCCTTGGTCGACTTTTATATGGCCTCTTCGGATTAGAAAGAGCCTTACCAGTCGAAAATTTTTCGTATAAACGCTTAATGGTGTTCTTAGATGGCGCACTTCTAACATTTTTTAATGTTTTAAAAGCACGTTGAGTTTTCACAATTGCTTTCTTCTGTTGAATGTAAATTTCAACTATTTCGCGTGGCGTGTATTGGTTCATGGTAAAAATCTGCTTGGACTGACGCTTCAAACGCGGTATGTCATTAAGCGATGTGACATCTCTGTCAAAAGTTATGGCGTTGCCAGATGGGTCCGTCGAATATGGGCAATATCGGCACAACCGACTGATACTTTTTTACTTGTGATTTCCAAGACAGATTCAGTCAAACTTATGTGTTCCCTTTTCAAAATCGTTTGGAAGAAATTACAATTCAGTTGTAACAAAAATAGGTGTGTTTGGTTATCCTAAAATTTGTAACAATTGTTAAAAATTGTTACTGAAAGTCTTCTGTTAACCCGAAAATTCTGCAAAATAGAGCGGTTGGAGAGAGAAATTTTGACAGTTCTTTCAGTGAGAGTTTGCACATTCTTGCTGGACAAATTTCTTCTTGCAATCACTTGCAACTCTTCTTCTTCTCATTCATCGACATTCAATCAGATGTTTTCCATTGTTTGTTTATTTCCTTTTCTGCTTTCAATTTGAAAATATTTTTTTGGAATTAGCAAGACTAATTGTTTATGGAGAACAACTTTATAAAATTTGAAAAACATAAATATCCATATGTAATGAGAAAATAAAAAAACTATTTCCAACATTTTTAGACAAACGCCATTAGCAACACGTTTAAAGGATTACGGGAAAAATCAAATCTATCTTTCTATTATTGATAATTTCCTTTTTATTAATAAAACTTGTAAAATTGTTGGTGCTTCCTTTCTTTTAATTCTTTTAATGGGGGACAAATTGGTTTGTTTTGACCAGACAGCTGATTAGTTGCAAACTTCTGCAAGAATACCGTCTGTTTACTTTTTGCATTTTTCTTGCAAAAGAGAAAAAAACTACTCTACTCTCTCTCAGAAAGATGTTGCTGGACAATTCATGCACGAAAAGTAACCAGACACACCCAATGGTAGTAAAAGTTTTGTATGAACAAAATGTATTGTTTTTGTAACGAAATACATCTATTACATCTATATTCCTTAAACTTTAGATGATATTACTTGCAACTGGGAAGTATTGCACTCTTATACATAAAGATGTATAAGAGTTCCACTCTTAACCTGGATAAAAATTGGTTTAAATATATAACAATCCCGCAAAAATATATATTTTAATAAAAACGAAAAATTTTGAAACAAATTAAAACAAATGTTCAGTCTAGTCTAGAAACTCTAAAAATCATTGGAATTTTCAACAGATTAAGTGTCATAAAATTTTTAAATAAATACATACACATTTGTTTTTGCATAGTCACTGGTATTTGACATTTATTTTCTTCCCCTTGCCTAGAAGAACAAAAAAACACATTCTTTTACATATGAAATGAACACTTAATACAGGTGTAAGATTAGCTATCACATTTTATAGCCAAATTTCATTCTGATAACGAATTGAACACCTGTTGATATTTCCAAACATTTTTTTTTTCTTGAATACAACTTGACGTCTTAAGGGAGTTGGTTGGTTAGCTAAAAGCAATTAAAGATTGATAAGTCCGCGGGAATTATTCATTCACCTATTGTTGGCTACCCAGCCGGCTAGTATTTCAAGATACAATATGAAACGAGACGGCCAACATCTGGCTGATTGTTAAGTGACACACATACAAAGTTTTGATATCGGTCATAATCGAATTAAAAACAAGTGCTTCTTATGATTAAATGTTGTAAAAACTGATTAAGGTTTCAATTTCAAGAAATTGGATCTAGGGCTATAGCAACGAATAGCATTTTTTAATACAATATTGTTACATGGATTTTTAGTTTATTCAAAGAAAAACAAAAATATATTATGGATGATTTTGGTCCTTTTTGTTTGGAAATATTTATGAATATCTCTATTGCCATCAACAGTCATAGTCAGAGGCATTTATTTCAACTTAAGTTAAAAACTTATTTTAAAATTTAAGAATCATAATACAATCTAAACCAAATTTTGATTTTTTTTTCGTTTTCCGATATTTCGCAATTCTTTAAATATCATCTTCAGGGTATTTGTATACAATAAACGTCAAACGAACTTGAAACTATACTAGGATTCACTATCTTCGTCCGTTGTTAACATTGCATTGTATTCTTTATTAATACTGGTCTTTATTATTTTAGGTATTCTCTTTCGGAATAATAATAGCGTTAAAACAACTATTCCAGAAAAATACTATGGCATTATATTATTTATATCAAGTGTATGTATAAAAAAAACATACATCAACGATAAACTTTGACACTTATTAACGTGAGTCCCATTGCTCATTGCCGATGTTAAATTATAAAGTTTATTTTCTTCGTTTGTCTCGATTATATTGTTTTCTCCACTAATTTCGATACATTAAATGTTAAACTAACTGATGTAACTATTTATTCAAATACGATTAATTCAAATAATTATAACAACTCATTTTTAACAGTTTTGTTTCAATTCCCTCTTGTTTCACTATTTTGTGTCTTCCTGTTAGTTGAGTTGCCAACCTGATGGAAGAAGAGAAATATAATATTGGCAACACTTGTCAAACGGTCATAGTAGGGTTACCAAACTCTCAATTTTAAACCTTAAATTATTTTGGGAAATATAACCTGTATGATATCCATGGTAGCATAATACAGGTAACAGTACAACGAACGTAACAACAATCGCATATAAATTTGTTTTTGTAGGTAATACAAATGTCGGACTTTTATGTACAAAAATGAAAATAAAAAATTAATTTTCAATAAATTGTTTTAATTTCAAACATCGCCATTTTTCAAATTTAGATTCTTAATTTAAAGCATGTACTTCAAATTATGAATTTGGATCTTCAGCTAACAACTATACATTTAGAGGGATAAAATAAAAACATTAAAATTAAATATTTTAAGAAGTATTTTTTTTTTGTATTTTAAATTAAGAATCTAAATTTGAAAAATGGCGATGTTTGAAATTAAAATAATTTATTGAAAATTAATTTTTTATTGAAAATTAATTTATTATATATATATATATATATATATATATATATATATATATATATATATATATATATATATATATATATAGATGGAATTCAGCCCAAAAGCATGTACTTCAAATTATGAATTTGGATCTTAACCTAACAACTATACATTTAGAGGGATAAAATGAAAACATTAAAATTAAATATTTTAAGAAGTATTTTAAAATATTTAAATTAGCAAAACTAGTATATTCCTGAAGGTTCTGGAATAGAGCTATAATTGAAAGCATAGACACACATACTCAAAACTAAATTTGACATGATAATCCATGCAAATTAATAAATTAGAATTGAAATGGTACCTATGGGTGAGGGTACATAAGCAATATGAAGTCTTCGCATGGCATATTTTGTGACATATCACAAAGGGATGCCAGAGCCGCACTCGAATCCTGCCGTCGTTTTCATTTATAATTTGACATTAATATGCCTAACAATGATGCCAAGCTGCTTACCCTCACCTTAAATCTGGGAACTATCAGCTGATTTGTCAAAACAAAACAATTAGCCTGCCCAGGGGTATTGTTTTGCTATTAAAATTCAATTTCTTATTTTAATTATTTTATAGATTTTTGTATGGCCTTAAAGTGTAAAAATTTGAGAAACATTTTGTTGTTGATAAAAAAATATAGGCAAAGTTATACTAAAGGTGAGAGTACATAAATTTTATTTTTAACTGGCTTAAGTCATCGACTGGCTTCTTCAACGAGGTACAAAAGAAGTTTAAGGTTGACTTAGTACGATTTTGGCCCTACGATCATTTGTTCCTTTCCGAAGACGCCGATAACTTAAGCCAGTCAAAAAACGTTTTATGTATTCTCTCCTTAATGGGTGAATTGCCTCCATTGTAACCTTATTAAATAGATCTTGTATCCTCCATAAAAAGAAACATACCACAAAAAATGTTGTATTTTATAAAAACTAAAAAAATTGTTATTTTACAAATTTGTTAAAGATAATGTTTTTAAATTGCTTTGTCTGGCAAGAATTTATAAACTCGATTCGTTTTTTCGCAGATCTTTTGGGTTAACATACGACTATCAGTAACAATTTTCAAATTTTTTTCTAAATTTTTGGATAACTAGAGCAGTAAGTTTACAGTTAACACGGATAAGTAAATATAGTGGATCTAAATTTCCGATTCCATTGCATTGCATTGAGGTTAACCCGCAAAAGATCCAATGTAAACGTGCTATTAGTTTTTTTTTATTGTTCCATCACCATGTTTACTTCCTTTCAATGGTCTTCCTTAATTTCCGTCGTTCGGTTCTCACGATGTTCCTTTGATTTTTTGTTTCATTTCCAAGGCTTCCAACCTATTTTCCCCCCAAAACATAACGGCCGCCAAGACGTGGCATTAATAACAAAGACACAGAAATACGATTTTTTACAAATACTTTGATTGGCAACACTCATTAAATGGGGGGCTTGTTTACACTCTTTCCCCATATTTTCTCCGCTCCTTCACATACGCGTTCTCTTTCGTTCTCAGACTCTATCTCAATATGCTGAACTTAATAACAAGCGCATAAAGGAATATGAATTCAGTTTATTTTGAGCAGTTGACAAATTCGCATTGAATTCGTACGGAGAGAGAGCCAACTACCTACCGTGGAGAAGAACATAATAAAAAAACAACAATAGAAATTTATTTCTGCAAAAGAAGCACAGCATATTAACATATTTCTTGAGATAACAAGAAGGCATCTGTGAACCAGAGAAAATATTTTTAAAATTTAACAATTAAAGAAGTGATAAAAAAAATATTTAAAAAAGGAAGAAAAATAACAACAACAACTGAGCGCACAACAAAAGTGTTTCATATCTTACAAAGATTTTTTACAAAGTTAAATTTTTTCTACAGCCGTGTTTTTTACACCTACATTGTGACGTATCAACAAACATATTGTTGGACCCGTAGTTAGTGTATCTGTGTGTGGTGGTTTGGATACTTGCGTGTTTTCAGAGTTCTTTTTTCCTCTTGCAAACCAAGTCCAGTCGGCCCCAGCACAAACAAACAAACAAACAAAACGGGCCATCATTAAACGAAGCAACATTCAAACAATCAAACATCTGCACTAATAGAGAGCCAGTCAGCTGGTGATTTTAATCCTTGCCGCCTGCCTAGAACATCCTTTGCGAAATTTCTTTCGGTAACTCAACACGCAGGCAACAGCAGTAGAAAATCTTTCCTGCCGGTTTGTACACGTCATTCCTCTCTGAGCCGGAAAGAGGGAGCAGTGCAAAGAAGTGCCGACTTGAGGTAGTTAAGTGATTGTGTTTTGGTGGTGATTGCATTGCATTGTGTGAGCTGCCGCTGCCGCCGACGACACCAATCCTACAGCGCTAGAGAAAAGATATATAGCACAGCAAACTTGTCGGCAACTACGTCGTAGTCGTCGTCGTCTCTTGGAAGTGTTGCGATTTTATATCTGAAAAAATACAAGTTTGTCAGTCACCGTCACTATATTCGGTCAGTGTGTAAGCGTGTGTGTTTGTGTGTGGAACATTCCAAAAAAAGCGAAAAAGAATTGTGTTGTTTGAAAAGCAATAATTAAACGCAAAAAAGTAGAAGAATAAAAAAAAAAAACAAAGAAATTCCAAAACAAAACTAGGTGAATTAAAATCAACCCCCCGTCCTCCCCTCGTTGTTGCCGTTGCTCTGCTGCAAAGAAATGCAAAGTTATGCAGATGAATGCTTTCGAAGCTATGGCTTCGATACCGACATGGAAATGGATATGAATGGCGAGAGGCAGAATATCGGAAAAACTAAATCAAGTAAGTAAATGGGCATTTTGTTTTATCAAAAATGGAGAAGAAGAAGAAAAAAGCGAATTGAGACAAGGTAGACATATTTACATACGTAAACTGTGTGTACCCTGGTGGGCACTTTTTGATGAAGATAACTCGCTTGTATTATCATTTAACCCATTGTAGTAGGTAGTATATGGAAATTAGGTGCACAATTCAAAAAGTTTTTATTTCTTATTACCAGTAAAGAAAGGAGGAAGATGGGCGGGCCGACTATATGATACTCTACACTACTATTCACTATAGTGGGACATCTCTTCATCAATATACGTTACATCAACATTATAAGATTCCCAATCGAGGCTAAGCTGATTTCCTCTATGTAGATTCCAATTTTATTTAAAATCGTGATAGAAAGGGTAAGGTAAAGCTACCAGCTGATAACCAATTTTATACCCTACACCACGTAGTGGTAAGGGTATTATGTCTTTGTGCATTTGATTGTAACATGGAGAAGGAAGCGAGAGATAGACCCATCGTTACTTTTGAGGATCTTCATAGAACCACTTTGTGAGTCGATTTATGCATGTCAGTCCGTCTGTCCGTTCGTCCGACTATCCATGCATTTTTGTGAACAAAATGCAGGTGGCATTTATTATCCGACTGCTATGAAATTTTCCCAACAATATTTGTCTGGCCCAAGGACGCACCCCTTTAAAATTGGTAAGGATCGGTTCAAATTTAGATAAAGCTGCCATATATATCTTCAACCGATTTCGGATTAATTGTACACCAAATGGCCAATATCAGTCCAAATGACCAGAATTTTGGCATATCCGACCGAATTCAAGCGAGAAGCAAGTACATTGAATTCGGAGAAAATCGGTTCAGATATAGCTATAGACCCCATATTTACGTTTAATACCATTTGGTCTTTAAGTCCCTCTGATTCGTAATATGCATTTGACGACAATGATATATGATACCATATGTCTTATAGAGCTCTCGAAATATCTTTGCTATATTCTATCAATATCGGATAAGATTTGGATATAGTTCCCATATATATCCTTAATTCGATTTCAGGTTTATTGTGCAAATAATGGCTAACATCAGTCCAAATGTAGTGAATTTCGGGACGTACGTTTCCATTTGGTGGAACTCGGTTCCGATATATATTTCTTTAATATAATCCTTCTCGAAGTGATGTCATGCAATTTATTGCAATTTTATTTGGTATAAAAAATAAAAATGTGCCCGTAAAATTTAATGAAAATCGATTCAGAATTGAATATGCCACACATAGAGGGTGAGATAAAAAATACAAAGTCAAACGCCATAATTTTTACATCTTTTTGTTTTTTAATTTTATTGAATGTAAACAAAAAATATCGGAAATAGCATCAAATTTTAGAATAAGTTTAAATTTGTTCGAATTGGTCACCTTCGGCACGAATTATGGACTTCAAACAGTCAATGAAACCGTTGCTCTGCGGTATTTTGGCCCACTCTCGGTGAAGCGCTTGCTTGAGGTGATCGACACTTTGGTATTTCTTAGTGCCAACCTTGCTTTCCAAAATACTCCAGACACAATAGTCCAACGGATTGGTATCCGGAGATTTTGGTGGCCATAGTGCGCTGGAAATGAAGGGGGGAACTTCATTTTGTAACCATTCTTGGGTGGCACGTGCTGAGTGCGATGGTCCTGTTGGAATGTCCAAGGTCTGAAGCCATAATGTTTGCGTGCCCAAGGCTTTAGTACACCCTCCAGAATATTTTCGCGATAATATTCGCCATTTATTCTGATGCCACTGTCGATTAATACGAACAGAGAGCGATAATCGGCTGTTATGGCGGCCCACACCATCACCATGGCCGGCGCTTGAGTTCTGGTGCACATTTTTAGCTGGCTTCTTTGGTACGATCATTTTGTTCGTTTACAAACTGCTGGACAACGGAAAACTCTCTCATCTTTCATCGGAAAATTCGGCATTTCAGCATTTTCGTCCAAGCGAAGGATCTCTTTAGCTCTTATGAGTCTATTTTCTTTCTGTTGCGGTGTAAGTTCTTGCACTTTGTGGAATTTCAATGGCTTTACCCCGACCTCATTTTTCAATATTTTCCGAATGGAATATTGCGATATGTTCAGCTCACGAGCCATTTTTCGGCCACTGCGACGCCGGTTTCGATCAAGCCACTTCTTTACTTTTCGAAACATTTCTGCTGATGTTGCTGTCCACTTCCGACCACTTTCTTGACGTCGGGCTACGCTACCAGTATCACGAATTCGGTAACGAGCGATGATACGAGACACAAAAGATTTATTCACATTTAAATGCTGGAGTGCTCTAACGATAGCCACTTGTGGTTTTATAGCCAAATATAAAGAAATCACACTATCACGCTTGAATTCCATCACGAATAACTTCTTTTCTGGAAAATTCTAACCAAAATGCTTTTGTACGCTTGTAAGCAATATAATGAGCTGCCACTGGAATAATTTTAATAGCTGTCGGACGAGTGGCTTAGAAATGACAGCAGTTTGAAATTGATTGCAGTTTTTTCATCTTACCATGTATGGGGGCTACACGAAGACGTGGACCTGTATAGCCAATGTCTGTCACGCAGACTGTAGTACCCGGTGAACATTGTCGCCATAAACATGAAAATACCGAATATCGGGTGGTACCGTTATATGGGGGCTATACCAAGACGTGGACCTGCATACGAATTTTTTTGCCATAGGTTGTGGTACCCATTACAATTTTCCAGTACGAACTTTGAAACGATTCCGGTGAATAAAGTTGCTGAAATCATCAAAATGCCGAATATCGGGAGGTACCGTTACTTGGGGGCTATACGAAGACGTGGACCTACATGGCCCATTTACGAACTTAACCAGCCTGCTGGAAAAATACACATGTCTGCAATATTTTAGCTTTCTGTCTCAATTCGTTCGAAAGAAAGTGTGATTACCACATACATACGGACATCACTAAATCGACTTAAAATGTTACCCTGATCCAGAATATATAAAGTTTGTGATTATTTAGAGAAGTTACAAACGGAACGACAATGTCTCCATTTTATGGTGGAGGGTATAAAAAGGCAGACATATCTGGCACCAACGCCCCCAGGTTAGCCCTAATCCGCAGTCAGTGAATCACTCAATTCTTTATATATTTATATTTACAGTGCTGGGGTTTAATTTAAATTCTCAAATTAAGGCAAAACCCGACATTTGCTCCCGGCTCCATATGACCTACTTGCCATTTCTAGGTAGTTTCATCTATGAAAATCCCTCAATTACAATTCAAAAAATTAAATTCTAATTAAGTTTATCAACGTGTAATAAAATTGCTTTCACAACAAATAATGTGTGATGGTTCAACATTCCATTGGGTTAAATGATTTTGCTTTGTTCGGCTTATCGCTTACTCTACCTCTCATTTACCGGCCGGTGGAATATTTTGTTTTTTTTTTAATTTTGTTGCAATAACTTGTGAAATAATCTTATCCAGATTATGACGACTGTATTCACATAGAAAAAAAAAACACACACACATACACGTAAAGCGGTTTTTTTGCAACTGCCTATGGTAGATATTTCTTAACATTTCTCAATAGATATAAAAGCCATACAAAGAGCCCATATCTTTGAATTCTATTTTTTTTTTGTGCGGATAATAATATCCTCCTTTGTGCCTTTGTCTATTTTCCGCAACACAAATAAATTACCTTATTCACACATTTAAATATTGACATAAAAAATCGTCAAATTACCTCTAGGCGACTTTGATGCATGAGAGGTCAATGTACGTTTTCCACAAACAAAATATCGATTGAAAATTTGTTGGCTTGTTTGTTTTTTTTTTTTCTTTTTTTTGTTTTGGGAGTGGTGACCGGCAAAAGTATAAAGAATGGAAATTCCATTTCACAAGGTTTTTTAGTTGATAGCTTTGTTTGGTTTTTGTTGAAAATATTGTTGGGTGGGGAAGGCTGGGGCATTGTTTCTACATATTTAAACTCAATTATGCAGGACCAAACGAAAAACTGTTTTTGTAAAGGTGAGATGAAAAAACTGCAACCACTTTTCAGGCTGCTGTCATTTTTAAGCCACTCGTCCGACAGCTGTTAAAATTATTCCAGTGACAACTCATTATATTGTTTAGAAGCGTACAAAAGCATTTTGGTGAGAATTTTCTAGAAAAAAAGTTATTCGTGATGTAATTCAAGCGTGATAGTGTGATTTCTTTATATTTGGCTGGAAAACCACAAGTGGCTATCGTTAGAGCACTCCAGCATTTAAATGTCAATAAATCTTTTGTGTCTCGTGCCATCGCTCGTTAACGTTATACCGGTAGCGTAGCCCGACGTCAAGGAAGTGGACGGAAGAAAATAGCAACATTAGTAGAAATGGTTCGAAAAGTAAAGAAGCGACTTGATCGAAACCCGCGTCGCAGTGGCCGAAAAATTGCAAATATTAAAAAATGAGCTCGGAGTAAAGCTATTGATATTCCAAAAAGTTCCAGAACTTACACCGCAACAGAAAGAAAATAGACTCAAAAGAGCTAAAGAGTTGCTTCGCTTGGCTGAAAGTGGTGAACTGCCGAATTTAGTTTTCTCCGCTCCGATGAGAAAATATTCGTTGTCCAGCAGTTGTAAACAAACAAAATAATCGTGCCAAAGAGGTCAGCTGAAAATGTGCACCTTCGGTTGGCCACCAGAACTCAAACGCCGGCCATGGTGATGGTGTATGCCGCCATAACAGCCGATGGTCGCTCCCCTCTTGTATTAATTGACCGTGGCATCAGAATAAATGTCGAATAATATCAAGAAAATATTCCGGAGGGTGTATTAAAGCCTTGAGCACGCAAACACTTTGGCCGCAGATCTTGGACATTCCAACAGGACTCAGCACCATTGTACTCAGTACGTGCCACCCAAGAATGGTTACAAAAAGACGTTCTTCGCTTCATTTCCAGCGCACAATGGTCACCAAAATCTCCGGATACCAATCCGTTGGA